TCAAAGCTAACCTTTACATTTAATTTGATTTTTGCATCGTGTATGGGATTTCACCATGATTGAAATTTAGGTTTTCAGAGTTTTTGAATTGGGGTTTCTCACCCAAGGAAAAATTGGGACCCAAGATCACTACCATTGCAATCAGCGTGCTCCAACGAAGAAGAAGCATACCTCGCGATCAATTTATATGCACCACAGTCCTATTCGTTATTTTTCCATAGCCACCCTAACACCATGGTTGCAAAACCGTTGCCAATATGTTTTTGTTTCAGGAAAAGGAAGAAGACGGTCTCGTGTCCATCAGCTATTGGTCACTTTGAATCTCGCGCGCTTTTAAATGCCACTGACCAATATTTCTTTTTGTTATTTATTTGTTGTAATATGATAACATGTGCGTGCTGGCTCAGGTGGTAAGCGTGAATCCCATTAACCCTCATGACCTGGGTTCAAGTCCCAGGTCTGGCAAAATTCCATATTATTTTTCAAAATGAAATTCTATGCTTTGCTAATGTCCAGGTACACCATGCACACTCAAAAATCAACCTCCACGCGTCCATTAGAAGCAATCCAAGGGCCATGACCAAAGGTGTATCATAGACTCCAGTCAATGTGCAGCACTCTATCCAGGAAAGTCAACCAATTCAATGCAAATGGGCCTGATTTGCTAGGCCTGCACCTCACAATTTTGGGGTCTACCCCCCTGGTTTGCCTTATTAATTTTTATTCTTTCTTTAACTTTTCTTTTTTTATTTCTTTTATTTGCTATTTATTTAATTAATTATTTTTACATAAATATAATAAAAACATCATAAAAATCAAAAAATGCCAAAATATATAATTTATATTATAATTATTTTCATAAATAATAACATGTAAATATTTAGTTTTAATTAGGTTTTCAACTTTAATTCCTTTTAATAAAAATCAAAACAAAAACATAGAATTAGGTTAATGACTTTTTCCTTTTAACTTTCCTTGTTTTTTGCCATAGTATTAGTGTTTTTCATAATTAAACTAGGGTTGCATTTTAGGTTAGATTTTAATTCTTTTAATAACTAAAATCCAAAAAAATAGAGTTTAGGTTTAATAACTTTTTATTTTCTTTTTTTTAATTTTCCTTTTTTCAGAATAATAATATTATTTATTTATTTTCATAAATTTAAAAATGCACATAAATTAATTTAGAATTAAATTAGGTTAAAAGTCAATATTTTCATAATAAACTTAAAAGACATTAGAACTAGGATTTTAATTTTAATTAATTTTTCTTTTTTCTTTTAAATCTAAAAAACACAAAAATACCATTTTTCATTTAATTTTAATTTTAGATAACTTAATTATTTTAATTCCTTTAAAGGGTTCAACGCCCTCGCATTTGATTATTTTCTTTTTCGCGCGTTTCATTTATTTCTTTTGTGAATATAATGTACTTGTACCAAAGCCGTGTAATAGCTATTAGACATTTCTTTTCTGCAATTTATTTTAAAACGGGTCTGGATTAATTTGGCGTTGTAGACCCTCGCCCTTTGTAATAGCGTAGGACTTTTATCTTTTCCGCACTTTAAATTCCCGCACTTTTAACTGTTAAACAATAGCATGAAAGAATGAATGCCCAAAAATAAAATCGAATCGTTAGATCACCAATGCATGACAAGACAAACAATAAACTGAAAATGACACACAATTCACACACCACCCCTAGGGTACGCCTCACTGTTGCCTTTCGAAAGGTGGTCGTCGAGTATAGGACGTTTTAGTAAGTCCTTATGTCCATGACATGATCCAGTTGCCTCGAAACGGTTGCCTCGGAAAATAAAGGATCAATGGCATAAGGGTAGCTTCTAAGGTGTCCTACTGTTGCTCTGGTGACCACCACGTCCCTAAAACTCGAATTGACCCGAACACCTCCAACGGTGGTGCTACCTACCTCTCAATGGTGGGATGGCACTACTTTAAAGGACATTTACACAGACGAATTCCTTAGGGTAGGTAGGTTCTCAAGGATACTTGCTCTAATTTCAAACAAATCAAAACATCTTTTCACACCGACACACTTTCAAAAACTTTCAAAACAAACTTTTCAAACACTCTGACGTACGAGTTGAATTGAAACTTTTCAAAGAATACTTTTGAAACCCACATTGAAAAGCAAGCAAACAATTTTGAAAACACATTGAGCAAGTATCTAAGAGCCCATGGATAACCATGGATAGAAAGGGTGCTAATACCTTCCCTTTCTATAACCTACCTCCCGAACCGAGAGCAATCTCTTTTAAAGGAATTTTTCTGTGCTTTTGTCCTTTCCTATTGGAGAAAATAAAAGACGGTGGCGACTCTTGCTTCCGCGACATTTCGCGAACCAGCGTTAAACAGTCAGTTCCAGATCCACCGATCACAGACACACATAAATCTAAATGCAAAATCTAATAAAATAAAAAATCATCCAACCAATAATAAGAGAAATTAACATGCCATCCCCCTTTTTATACACGCCACCCCTCATTATAGACACTTTTACCAAACCATCCTTGTAAAATACTAGATTTTAAGAAATTTTCGATTTTATACCGGAAATTTCATGAAAATATCAAAAATTTTGTTGAATTTTCAATTATTTACCGTGGCATATGCAGTGAATCGGAAATTACAAATTTCTGGTATATTCCATCCTTGTAAATATCAGAAATTTGAAATTTTCGATATGTGAAACAAATCAAAAATTTGAAATTTCCGGCAATTAACGGGAATTTCATCTGCAGACATATCGGAAATTTCAAGTTTAACTGAAGTTTTCGGTATCTGGAAAATTTTAAATTTTTGATATTACGTTTTCTACCAGAAACTTGTGTAATTTCTGATATATGTGATGGTTTTTGAAAATTGTTACGAAAATTTTAAAATTTCCGATGAATCACAATCGAAAATTTCAAAATTTTTGAATAATCGCAACCGAAAATTTATAGAATACAAAGAATTTCCGATAAACGACAAAATTCGATATCAAAAATTTGTGAAGCGTACCGAAAATTTTCATTTTTATCCCTTTTGATCCATAATAATTTTTTTTAGACAAAAAATAATTTTTTTAGAGTAAATAATAAAATGAGTATTTTGGGAATAATGAAAAATAAAAAGATGACATATATAGTATAATATGAGGGGTGGAATATTAATTTTTCCAATAATAAATATAATATAACAAATGAACTAGATGAGATATAATGTAAATTAATACAAAACTAAAAAGAAAGTATTAATTAATCTATTGAAAGTAACATTAGAATGTGAAGTGATTAAAGTTACCGAAATTTCTTCAATTGCCGCAGTTCGATCCGCAATCCATTAATAAAATTAATTTGAGTGAGTAAAAATTGAGAATTGAGAGATTTTGGTTAAATTGAGCATGTAACTAGCAACCATTTTTACATTACATTTTAGTGTGCACCGGGGCGGTAACGGCAACTGCATTAGGAATTTGGGATTCCACACCGCACAAAGTAATATCAACGTAACGTAAAATCATTTCGAGTCAACACGAAAATACCACCTTGTTTGGAACGGAAGAGATGTGGAGAGGAAAAAAATAGAGTTAATGGAGTGATTGAGTTGTGTTTCGTTGTTTGGGTGTAAAAAGTAATTAAAAGAAGTGGAGAAAAAGTGGGACCCGCGTAAAACCCCCGAGATCTACATTTCCCTCACCTACGCTTCACTCTCATCAAAACCACCGCATCTACACGTGACCTCAGATCGTAACCACCTTTCTCCGCCGTTGCAATTTCCTCGGTTCACATTTTAGAAATCGCAACTCCGGCGAGCCAGTTAGCCAAGCAGGTCGTCGTTAGAGGTAGAATCTCTTCGCTATGTTATCAAATTACGCTTTCCGTAGATATGATTTACGAATTTTCATTTGTTCATGGATTTTGCTATCCTTGCACGAAGTTGAGTCTAATTAGTTTTCTGTTTAATATGATTTGAGAATTTTCATCAATCACTGACTCTCTATTGATCTCTATTTTTCTCATTAGTTGAATTTGGTGTATTGGTTTGTGAACTTTTTAGACGGATTGTGATGAATGAATCTATTTTCTATGTTCATTTTGAAGTAGTAACTCTTGCATAGAATGTTAGAAAAAGAAATGGTTTAATTGATCCCTTACTCTCCAACACCGACACCTCTGAAAGAAGGTGTGTCTGCACCGTGTCCGAAACTGTCACCGACACTTGTGATTAGGTTTAATTTATTCATTTTTTCAAATTATTACCGATGTCGACGTGTTAGTGTTGTTGTTGTGTTTGTGGTGTCCATGCTTCATAGATCCCTTGTATATTTATTGAATCGGAGGAAAGCTATTATTGAGAGAAATATGAAATATTATTTATTGTTGTTCTAATCAAGTTGAATGTAGTTGATGTTCCATATAAAAAAAAGGCTCTTAGCAATAGCGTGACTTGATTGCAGCTAGTGTTTTCTTTAGATTCCTATTGTATGATTCAACTTGAGATTATGCTAGATTCCTATTGCATTTTTCAAATTCTCTTGCCTCACATCCATTTGCATTAGCTTTTAGATTATGAAGAAACTGTATATTTTGGAAGGAGGAGGTTTGGAAATTAGTATATGAAATGAATTATAAGTTAGTTTTACATTGATGTTTAATCTAATGCACTATTTGTTGCTGGCAGAGCCCAAAGTGTTCTTCCAAGGGTCTTCTATTGCGTGCTATCTATATAGCAAGTGTCAAGTTTGTTAACTGGTATTGAGCCCCAGAAATCCCAAAGCAACGGGATGAAATAGGCCCAATACGACATTGCTTTATTATAAAGGCTGTGCTATCCCACATCAGTAGTAGGTGTCAGAAGAACACTCGAAGCCGAAACTGAAAATAGAAGAAAGAACTGGGCATGATACCTACACATTTTGTCTCTCTTTCCATTTGAAACTTTAAGCAACAAAAAGCCTTAGTTTCTGAGGCTCTTGTCTTCAATCCAATTCTCCATACATGGACGACGCCTTTGCTAAATCTATTCCTGAGGTAAATTTCCATTGCTTCTCTAATTTTCGTTGGTGCTATGCTAAATCCATGAAATCTTTTGTAACTTCTAAAAGGAATCTAGATGCAAACATTTGTTGATTTTAATATTAAAATATGGATATCCTAACTCACTATCTGCTTGGAATATGAAATTAGATGTTTTATGTTGTGTGGCCTGTGATATTGTATCTCTACCTCGGTCAATTCCTAGTGCTCTCAGATGTTAGTTTTTATGAACACACAATGTGATAATGTTGGTAGAATACTCTCAGTGGCTTTCCTCTTGGAAGTTGATTGAAAATTCTGTATCAATTTGTCTCTCTAGTCTCTGCAACTACGATTTGGCTTGTACTGAGATTATTAAAGCCAGTTTATTAGAGTGAATTGCCATTTTGGTCCTCAAAAATTGGCTAATTAGTCCCTAAAATTGAAGGTTGTCAGTCAATTTAGTTCTTCTGTCAATCTTGCTTGTAAAATATAGATTAATGGAAGCTCTAAACAAAATTTTGGAAACATGCTCCAATTGAGCATGCCCTAAACAATACACCAACTCGGTATCACTGATATGCCAGAGAGACTAAATTGATTGACAATTTTCAACTTCAGGCTCTTGCTATTTCATAAATTTGAAAGACTGAATTGCCTGTCCCCTACAACCAAGGACCAAAATTGTGATTCACTTATTTATTATACTTAGAACATGCCTATGGATACCAAATGTTATAATAATAATAATAATAATAATAATAATAATAATAATAATAATAATGATTATTATTATTATTATTATTATTATTATTATTATTATTGTTATTATTATTATTATCAATATTATTCTTATTACTATCATTATTATTATAGTTATACTATTATTATTATTATTATTTTATTTTATTTTCTTTTTCTGGTTGGCTAGGTCCTTGACTTCTTTGGAGTGAACCCAACAAAGGGTTTATCCGACACTCAGGTACTCCAATTTTCTTTTCTTTTCCTTTTTTGTGGTTAAGTTAGATTTAGAAGCACTTTGATTTTCCTTATCTTCTATGTTCGATAATAATGTTAGTGGTTCCAAATAATTAATTTTTCTCTCTTTTTATTTATAGGTTGTAAAACATGGCAGACTTTATGGTACAAATGGTATGCCTTCTATAGTGCCATGCACTTATTAATTTTTTTCCTTCAGTTATTTTTGGTTTATAGACAAGGGATATCAAGGACCATGGTTTTATATTCAGATGAGTTTGTAGTGTATGATGTAACAACCTAGTTTATGTTGATAGCGCACAAGATGGCAAAAATAGACTACTGAACCTAGTATGAAGGGGTGAGCTGGGATATGATAGTTTAAAGTTTGAAAGAATTTAAAATACAAAGGAATTAAATCGTTTTAATTGAAACTTCCTTCATTTTCAAAAGTATTAAAACTCCTCCAAGAAATCTCAAAACAAGACTTTAATCTCAAAACAAGACTTTATGTAATGGATATGTAACTTAATAAGACTATTGCATTGAGATGCATGTTAGTTGTTACTTGATTCCTTTACATTACAGACTCATGGTACAACAAGCATATTCACATATTCCTCAGACCATAATACTCTTAGCCTTCCTCAGACCATAATACTCTTAGCCTTCCTCTTTCTCTCATATATTTGCAAATGCTAATTTACATTATAGACTCAAAAGGTACAACAAGCATATTTTGTTACTTGATTCCTTTACATTACAGACAAGCATATTCACATATTCCACTGACCATAATACTCTTAGCCTTCCTCTTTCTCTCATATACTTGCAAATGCTAATTTACATTACAGACTCAAAAGGTACAACAAGCATATTCACATATTTACAGCAGTTATACAATCTAGACTCCAAATATTTGTTACAAACTCAAATCATATGATCTAAACCGTTTCAATCACATAGAGCAGAACAAACACTCTTTTTATTAGCAGTTTACACAGAAGCAAGCATGAACATTTCATCATACATGACATTCCAAACCCATCTGAACACTACTAGAGAAGAAAAGGAACTGAAAGATGTGAATGAGATAGAAGTGCTAAACTGTTAACAGGAGACAAAAGATTAGGTAATTGATGCAAACCCTTTGAATGTGCTTGCTCAAAGCCAGCATGAATAAACCAAGCTTTCAACCAATAATGGATTTTGAGATGTTTGAGAGAGCTAAGTTACAACACTGTGGGTTTTCACAAAGTAATGTTACAAAAGAGACGTGAATTTTAAAGTTTCCTATTTAAGGTAAAGTAAATCCTGAAAGAATAAAAATTCAAAGAAATCACTGTAATTTAAAGTACAGTAATTTGAATCCCTAAATTATTGCATGTCACAGTGTAAGGAAGTTCGTCTTAGTTATGCATATGTAATGCTCCCTCTAGTTCTATTCAAGCATTCAATTTGATGATATTTTATTGATCTCTTAACAATTCTTTTCTCTTATGTTGTTGCATGGTATCTACTTGCTACACAGTGCTGCATGAAGATCAAAGTAAGTATATGGTGTCCGTACTTGCTTTTTATAAAAAATAATTATGTGATGTAGGTTAACTCAATGGTCTTAATTGTTATTTATATGCAAATTATGGTTTGCATTTGATCTCAATTGACAATATTTCACCAACACACTATATTGCATATGATAGATGGAAATGTTAGTGTTTGGTAAACGGGTAGTTGTTTTCTGGAAGGCTGTGCAAGCTATAGAAAAACAAATTAATTTATATTTAGTGTTTTGTGGATGTAAGCAAATTTGAGGATCATCCTAAAAACCTATTAATTACTGTACTACCACTGTAACAAACCTCATCTAATATAATTGAGGCGATCAGAGTTATTGCTCCTGTACATTTTGTTGCATTTGCCGTGCTGTAATTAATGTATACTGCTCAATTGATTCTTGTTGTAATTAATTAGTTCATGTAAATTTTGAAATGCAGGAGCTCCGTTTTGGAAATTGGTTGTGAAGCAATTTGATGATTTGCTTGTGAAGATACTAATTGCAGCTGCTCTTATATCATTTATTCTTGCATTAATTAATGGTGAAACAGGCTTGATGGCGTTTCTGGAGCCTTCTGTAAGATTGATGCTCACTTATGTGTTGTGTTTAGTGTTTTTGTGGATGGTTGGATTAAGAATTTTCTGTAATGAGTTCACTCCTTAATAATATTTTTACACAAAAATGTGAAAGCTATATCTTTTCAATAGCAACTGAAAATGAGCTGATTGAGTTCTCTTGCATTTTTAGAGTTCATATGGTACCATGTCGCATGTCTGTGTCCTTATCATATTGGGAAGGTTATTTTGGATTAGTGGATTACTTTCACCTCTACAGCTTTTCTGAATTGAAATTCATTGAACGTGCAGGTTATTCTGATGATATTGGCTGCAAATGCCGCTGTGGGAGTGATTACAGAAACAAATGCCGAAAAAGCTCTGGAGGTAAATTTGAAAGAGAATTAGCTATTCAAACAATTTTGCATATAACAATTTTGTACATCAAAATTTCATTGGTTTTGCACAAGTTATCCCAAATTTAAGGCCAAAGACTTGTTTGGTATGCCGTTATAGGCCTGGGAGGATAAACTTAAATAGTAGTCCTTTATCGGTTGTTAAGTGTGAGTACTGTATCATATAAACTTATTCGATCATTCTTTTCATGAAGATGATGGATAGTTTGATCCAATCTTGAGGTGTAGGGTTAGACTTGACAAGGCTTTGATGTATTAGCTCATATAAAATTTAAACATTGTAAGATATAGCCCTAAAAAAAACTGTCATATACTAATGTAACGATTAATTTTAAATGTAAATTACTTAAATTTTTTTATCCAGAAAATAATTACTTAAAAGTTTTAATACTAGTAAAATAAATTAAATTAACATTGTAGACTGTAAGTAAAGATAAATAAGTAAAGATAATGCAAGTCTGTTTGACTAGCCTAAATATTTTTTCAAATTAACCAATATACATATAGCATGAAATTTAAAATAACATTAAAATTTAATTATACATTAATGCCTAGCTAAAAAGAACTATTAAACACACATGCAGTTGACTATCGTGAGAATTCAATACTCTTGCAAGAGCTTGTTAAAATTTTCATCGATATCGAAGTTCTGCTCCCTCCTTCTATTAAAGAAAATGTCATTTACTATTGTAGCTCAGTTTTTTTTTTTTTTTTAAAATTTTATAATCATTCTCTGCAGACCTGATTTTTTATTTTTAATTAATTGTATACATTGGTCATGATTTTTTTCCTTCTATTTGGGGTATTATTCCTCCAAAAGTAAATTGAACATACCAAATTGTATTCTTAAAATGCATTATGTACAATATAACACCAAAAACTATGTAGTATTACAATTTTAAAAAACCTTATTCTATTCTGACGTTATCCTTCATTGCATAATAATAGCTCATTTTTGCTTGTAATTTGTTAGTTAAATTGTGTGCATGCCTAATCAAAACTTGTTACAAGAAAGTTAGTTTTATTGTGGAATTCCCTTATTGTTTCAAGTTGATCATACTTTCATTTATTCCCATTTTTTCCCACTGTCGTAGGAGCTACGTGCTTATCAAGCTGATGTGGCAACTGTCTTGCGAAGTGGTAACAAAAACTTCTATACCTGTGTGATTCTACACATCTTGATTAGTACAATAGTTTGATGCATTTTATTGATTTTGATATGTTTAATTATCAATTGTTTTGCCTTTTTAACTAACCTGTAATGCTACTGCACAGTTTGCTTCACCACGTTTTTTTTCTGTAAAAACTTGGCTAATACTTGTAGTTTTGGTAAAAAAAATCTGATCTTGATGGTAGGCTTTTGACTCAAAAGAACTTGGTAGTAATTTAGTTTTCTGTTTTCACACTGTCTAGTGTTTTCTTTGGTTTTGTAAGGTTTAGTTAGCCCAACCATAATTCTAAGATGGTATCAGAGCTGGTCCGAGATTCGTTGGGCTATTTGCTATCAAGTTTCCGCTATCGGACCACACATCATTTATATCCACGCACCAATTGCAATAATGCTGGGCGTGAGGGTGTGTGTTAAAGATTTCTACATCGGATGAGATATGATCTAAAAATAAAAATATGTTTTTTTAGTGAGGGCAAGATTTGCCTTAAAAGCCGGTTTAGGGGGAAGGAATTTTAATCAAAGAGGGCGTGTTTGCTCTGTATAATTGAATCATTATAGTCACATAGCCTTTATTTAAATAAGGGATGGAATAGTTTTTAAGGTGATTTATTGTTGTTGCCTCTTTTATGGATAATTTTTATTAAGACAAAATTTAGGTGTTGTTATACTATAGGGCATTGTTTGTTCTATTCATCAATTTTAACATGACACATTAAATTTTTCAATTTAATTTAAATGTGTAGAAAAACATATGGGTGATAATTGTCTATTTTATTATGAAAGAAAAGACCTCCTTTTATATGAGAGAAAATACAAAGTAACTCCTTTATTTTAGGAGTGATATAATGACTCTTAAAGTAATATAATGACTCTTAAGTAAGAAAATAAATAATGCTAAATAAGAAATATTTCAACACCCCCCCTCAAGTTGGTGCATAGATGTCAATCATGCCCAACTTGCTGATTGAGTATTCAAATGTTGTTCTTCCCAAGTTTTTGGTCAATATATCAGCGGTCTGTTGATTGGAAGGGATAAATGGCAAGCAGAGAGTACCAGAGATCTTTTCTTTGATGAAATGACGGTCGATCTCGATATATTTTGTACGATCATGTTGAATCGGATTATGAGCTATGCTTATAGCTGCCTTGTTGTCACAGTACAATTTCAATGGGGGTTCTACCTCTACCTTCAGTTCTTTTAGGACTCTGAGAATCCACATACCTTCACAAATTCCTTGGGCCATTGCTCTAAACTCAGCTTCAACACTATTTCTTGCAACTACTCCTTGTTTTTTGCTTCTCGTCACTAGGTTCCCCTACACATATGTGCAATAACCTGAAGTTGATTTTCTATCAATAATGGACCCTGCCTAATCTGCATAAGTGAATATTGCCACATTTTTATCATTGGTCTTTTGAAGAATAATCCTTTTCCAGAAGTTGCTTTTAAGTATCTCAAGATTCTGTGCACAGCTTCAAGGTGTTCTTCATATGGTGCATGCATGAATTGACTCATAACACTAACAGAGAAAGCAATGTCAGGACGAGTATGAGCCAAATATATTAATTTTCCAACCAACCTCTGATATCTTCCAGTGTCAACTGGTGTGTCCCCTTTCTCCCAAAGTTTGGCACTTTGGTCCATCGGTGTGTCGGCAGGCTTGCAACCACTCGTACCTGTCTCTTGTAGGAGATCAAGAACATATTTTCTCTGAGAAACAACAACTCTTTTCTTTGACCTTGCTACTTCCATGCCAAGGAAATACTTGAGGTGACCCAAGTCTTTGATTTCAAAATCTGCTGCTAAGTTTCTTTTTAATCTCTCCATTTCTATCTCATCATTACCTGTAATAATATCATCAACATAGACTATCAAAACAGTTATCATTCCATTTTGGCCTGACTTTGTGAATAAAGTATGATCTGCTTGTCCTTGAGTATATTTCTGTTTCTTCATAGACTGAGTAAACTTTTCAAACCAAACTCTCGGAGATTGTTTCAACTCATACAAGGACTTCTTTAGTTTACACACTTGTGACCCAAAGGTTTCTTCAAAACCTGGCGAACAATCCATATATTCTTCTTCTAAATGACCATTGAGAAAGGCATTTTTGACATCTAGATGATGGATAGGCCAGTCTAAGTTAGCAGCGAGGGAAAAGAGTATTCTGATTGTGTTAAGCTTTGCAACATGAGCAAATGTCTGTGAGTAATCTATGCCATAGGTCAGAGTGAATCCTTTGGCAACCAATCGAGCTTTGTACCTTCCGATTGATCCATTCGAATTGTACTTTATTGTGAACACCCACTTACATCCCACAGTTCTTTTTTACCTGCCGGCAGAGTTGTGGCACTCCAAGTTTCATTCTTTTCAAGAGTTTTCATCTCCTCAAAAACATTCTTAGGAATTTTGACACTAGATAGATTAGAAGTAAATGCAGCAAAAGAGGGAGACAAGTTTGAATATGATATAAAGTTAGACAAGGGGTGCCTGGTACATGACCTACCTGTCTTCCCAAAGACTATGGGAACATTAAGATCAGTATATTGTTTCCTAAGTTCTATAGGGACATCAAGGTCGGTATATAGAAAATTAGGATCAAGGAGTGATTTACCTGTCTGAGTCGGTTGACTTTCACTCGGTTCAGATTCTTGGCTGAGATGAGGAATAGGGTCTTCTACTACTTGATCATTGTTTCTTCTGACATAAATTTTGCCTTTCCAAATTGGATTTCCTTCCTCGAATCTTTTTTCTGTTTCATTATAAGGATCTTTATCTGGTGCATTTTGATTAATTTCAGAAAAAACATTTGTTTGATTTTTGTTTTGATTTGTTGCCTCAGATTCTGATTGATCCTTACTCATGGAAGGAGTAGGTTTATCTAATATTTTCAAGGCATTTTCTTTAGGTGCAGATGTACATGGCACAAAATTATGTGATCTATACACATCTTCTGAGATAATTAAGTTTTCAAACAATTCAAGAGGATCTTCATTTGTTTTCCTTTCCTGAAGATGATCATTACCAAAAAAAAAGGTTTGTTTTCAAAAAAAGTAACATACATTGTTACAAATATTTTTCTTTGTATTAGGATAAAAACATTTATAACCTTTTTGAGAAGATGAATACCCAATAAAAACACATTCCATTGTACGGGGTTCAAGTTTACCAAAATGTTTGTGTTCGTGAACAAAAGCTGTGCATCCAAATATTTTAAGTGGTAAATCAGATAGAACTGAAGCACTTGGAAAATATTTCAAGAAACTTTACAAAGGAGTTTGAAATTTCAAAACACGAGATGACATACGATTTATTAAATGTGCAGCTTTCAAGACAACTTCACCCCATAAATATTTAAGGACATTGATAGAGAAGAATAGTGCACGTGCAACTTCAAGAAGGTGCCGGTTTTTCCTCTCTGCAATCCCATTTTGTTGGGGTGAGTTAACACATGAACTTTGATGCACAATTCCATTTTCAAGAAAAAATTTCCAACAATTTTATTAAAAATTCAGTACCATTGTCAGTTCTAAACACTTGTATCTGTGTGTTAAACTGTGTCTGCACCAATTTACAAAAGTTTTGAATTATTTGACCTACCTCAGATTTTTCTTTTAACAAGTATACCCAACAAAGTCTAGTATGATCATATCTGTGAAAGTGATGAACCATTTTTTGTTGGGTAAAGTACTTGTTCGATTAGGCCCCCAAACATCACTATGAATCATTGAAAAAGGTTTTGAAGGTTTATAAGATTGAATTGGAAAAGAACTTCGATGATGTTTAGCAAACTCACAAACCTCACATTGAAGTGAAGAAATGTCTTGTTCAACAAAAAGTTTAGGAAACAATGAACTTAAATATTTAAAACTAGGGTGGCCTAACCTTAAATGCCATAACATAATGTCATCCTTATTATTTGAAACAAAAAAGGATTTAACAGAAGAAAAACTTATTGGTCCAAATTGATGTCTGGTTTTTGGTTCATCTTCCAAGTAGTAGAGTCCACCACTTTCCTCAGCAGTGCCAATCGTCCTCCCCGAGATCAAATCCTGAAATACACAATGAGTATCAAAGAAATGAGCTTGACAGTTTTTATTTGTGGTTAGTTTACTGACAGATAATAAGTTGCAAGACAAAGTTGGGACATGTAACACATCTGGGATGGTTAGTAAGGAAGACAAAAAATAGAACCTTTTCCTGCCACGGCTGAAAGAGAGTCATCAGCTATTTTAATTTTGGAATTTCCTGCACATGGTTTATATGAAGAAAATAAACTGGATTTACCGGTCATATGATCGGTGGCTCCAGAATCAACAATCCATGTACGATTAGGAATGACGCTAAGATGGACTGATTTTGGGAAGTTACCTTTCTGGGCTATGGAGCACGAAGGTGTTTGAGACTCGAAGAGTTTGTACATTTGGTCTAGCTATTCCTTAGTGAATGGAAATGCATTTGGGAAAGACAGTAGCTCTTGATCAGAAGTTGCTGAAGTGCACGACCCTCACCCTTCTTTTTCCAATTAGGAGGCTTTCCATGAATTTTCCAACAAGTCTCACGTGTGTGATAATAACGTTCGCAGTGATCACACCAGAGTTTACCATCTTTCTTTTACCATCTTTCTTACCATATTTCTTGTTGTCTTTATTGAAGTTGTCTGTGACAAGGGCAGAACCATCAGTTGCTGAGTTTGACTTTTCCATCATTACTCTTTGTCTAGCCTCCTCCCTTTTGTTTTCTGAAAAAGTTTCTCGGAAAGTTGTCAGCGGATTATTTCCAAGAATTCTACCTCTTACTTCATCTAGTTCCTTGTTGAGACCGGCAAGAAAAATAAAGACATGGTCGTTCTCCTGCGTCTTAATAAATTGAACACTGTCTTCAGTACACCTCCAGTTATAATCATAACACTGATCCAATTCTTGCCAAAGTGCCATCAATTCATTATAGTAGGTAGGTAGTGACATCCATGTCATTCTGCTTTAAATTCTATAACTTTGATTTTAGATCATAAATTTGAGAGAAACTTTAATACCAGAACTAACAGTTTTACAACATCCCAAACATCTATTGCTGTAGGCAGATACATGTATGTTTTTCTCATACCTATCTTCATAGTATTAATAAGCCAAGTAATAATAGAAGAGTTTTCAGATTTCCAGAACATGTATTAGGATGTGTTGTTGCTGGCACCAGAACATCACCTGTAAGTAAACTCAACTTCCCTTTGCCTTCTAGAATAAGTCGAACAATTTGGGACCATTCATCGTAGTTTGAGCCATCCACTTTCTGAACATTAACCTGAAGAGAGTTATTTTGACCTCCACCTCCTGAGTTACTGTAACCACCATCAAATGGGTAGCCATAACCAGACCCAAAAAGGTTGTTGTTGGGATCACCTCTGCCATAAACGAAATCACCGTTAAAATTGTTGTTTGTCATGAAACGGGGCATTTCTGGCATGGTAAATCCACTTCCTCTGTCGGAATTGTTGGTGCCACCAAAATTGACGTTGGCGCCGCTGTCGAAATTATTGTTGGCGCCGCCGTCGGAATTGTTATTGGCGTCGCCGCCTCCACGGCCTCCGAGAGGAGGTGGTGTTTGGGTAGGGTCCACCATAGTTTGGATCGGTCAGGTCGGATAAAAGAACGGGTCATCAGGAAAAGAGCTCATGATACCACTAGTTAGGGAAAGCTTTACAGGATCACCCTAACTCTAATAGAGCTCATGGTACCATGTAGAAAAACATATGGGTGATAATTGTCTATTTTATTATGAAGGAAAAGGGCTCCTTTTATAGGAGAGGAAATACAAAGTAACTCCTTTATTTTAGGAGTGATATAATGACTCTGGAAGTAATATAATGACTCTTAAATAAGAAAATAAATAATACTCCCTCCGTTTCAAAATGAGTGTCGTTTTAGAGAAATTTTTTTCTTTCAAAATGAATGTCATTCTCACTATTTTCAATACATTAATAAAGTTAATTTAGTAAAAGTACAATATTTTATGACACGATCATTGCATTCCTTAATCCGTGTGCAAAAACTTTAAACGACACTCATTTTGAAACGGAGGGAGTACTAAATAAAAAATATTTCAACAAAATGTAAAATGATTATCTTATGAGTGATATAATGACTCTTAAAGTAATATAATGACTCTTAAATAAGAAAATAAATAATACTAAATAAGAAATATTCAACAAAATGTAAAATGATTATCTTTATACACTGGCCCTACTTAGTGGAATAAGACCTGTTTGTTGTTGTTGATTCTCTTTATAATATTAGACACACCATCAATCCGTTGTATTGTGCTCGGAGAATAATAAAAATAGCACATGAATTGCATCTAAGTTTTGTCCTATTAGATTAGATCCATTTCTTTTCTCAATATTCTTGAAAAATGAGTTATATAGCCATATTTGGCTCGTTCCTGTAATCTATGGCTAATGTCTATGTGTCCATTGTTGACAATTGACAAATCTTTAGTATGTTAGTTAATCTATTTGTTGTGGTGTCTCTACATATTTCTACAGTGTTCTCCATATTTGGGTTTTGTGAAACAAGTTAGCCTTGCCCTACAACTGGAATTGTTGCAACTTGCAATAATAAGCCATATTTCTAGTGGAAAAAGACTTTGGTTGTTGTTCTTCTCCATATTTAGAGTAACTTCCCAATCCATTACTTAAAAGTTAAAATAGAAGGGAAACAAAGATACAGAAAAAACATTTCTGAAGTGTTTTAATGTTCCCTTGGGATAATGGTGGGATATACAAGGATAGTGTGAGTGTGTTCAACCCCTTTAATCATTAGAATTTATGCTTTCAAATTGTTGTGTTTTCTTCCTTGAGGCATGATGGGATTATGGATATTTTTAAATAATTGGTTCAAGCTAGTTCAGGACACATAAAATTAAAGTATGGGAGTCTATTTCTTGCAGGTTGTTTTTCCATACTTCCTGCAACTGAACTTGTTCCTGGGGATATTGTGGAAGTTTCTGGTGAGTTGGTTATGCCGTGCCTAAAAAAACTTGTTTATTTGAGTATCTGAACCTGGAATGCTGAAAGTTGATTTTTTTTCTTACTAAAAATTAAATAGTGGGGTGCAAAATTCCTGCTGATATGAAGATGATTGAATTGCTAAGTAATGAAGTACGGGTTGATCAAGCTATTCTTACAGGTATGCCTAGTGTAAAATATCTTATACTTTGAACGGCAGGGACGAATACAAGGGTAGGCAAGCAGTGGCCCCTGCCCCCTCATCTTTAACAAACTTGTATTTTTATATTATAAATAAATACACACTCATATAAATGTATTACTTAACTATTAAATTTTCGATATAAATATTTAACAATTCTAAAAAAATATTCTGTGCATATATTTTCACACTCCTTCTGTCTCATTTTAGGTGTTCCCTTTAAGTTTTGCACATTTTTTAAGATAATGATTACTTGTGTTGATTTCAATGATAAAATAAGTTTCATTTACTAAAATACCTTTATTAGTAGTAGTTAGTGGGGTAGTTAGGTGAATTGAAATACAATAAATAAATGTATATTATTGGAAAAAAGTAATAAATGTTGTTTTGTATTCTAAAGGGACAAATAATTTAAGACATAAAAATATTGTAAAAGGGACATCTAAAGTTAAACTGAGGGAGTACAAATTACATATATGTATTGCTACATGTGTAGGCTGGTCAGAATCGCTAGATGGTTTTATCAGGGAGGGACCTGTAGCTTGACTCTTATTAGGCTCTTTTGGCCTCACATTTACATTAATTTACTTTTTAAAAATCTCTATTGACTTAAATGACTAGATTTTTTACTATAAAATGACCATTAGATGGACTGACCTATTTAATTAAATAATAAAACCATTAATAATATCAATAGTCATTATCTTATATCACTTTTTGGCATATTATACTTATTATTATTATTATGAGTATTTTTATTATTATTGTTGTTGTTTTGCAAAGAAGGCCTCAAAATACACTTTTAGCTTGGGTCAAACTTTCAAATAATCTTTTGTTAGATAAATACACCAGATTGTACTCTATCTTTAAGAAATAGGCCAGGGTCATTTAAGTCATAGTTTTGTCTGACTTGATATATTTTCAAACCTACATTTGTATGAAAATATCAATTTTTATTACAAACTCATACACCAGCACCCTCCTATTTCAGTTTCTTTTTCTTTTAATGTATATTTTTGCTTTAAAATAACTGTATAATGCAAAGGCCACTTGCTTCTTAGCTATATCTATCATTAAGAGGCATCACATTGGTTTTATGGGTGGTCAACTCTTTTCCTAAATGTAGGTGAGAGCAGCTCGGTTGAAAAAGAGCTTAAAACTACCACAGCAGCAAATGCAGTATACCAGGACAAAACAAATATTCTTTTCTCGGTACGATTGGTCCATCCTGATTATTCCATCCTTTATTCAACCTTGTGATTGATAGATATGCTTAAGAAATGTTTTTATGACTTAGTGGTTTGGCTATATCAGGCCAATTATTAATCATTTATGATATAGATGATGTTGAAGTTATGGGTTTTAGATAGAATAAGGAGAAGAATGAGAATAAATATGATTATCGTGCAATGTGATTGATAATGATTTGATAATAATTTCATAGTAACTTAACACAAAAGACTAAGCACTAATCCCTATATAATATATAGGGATACAAATCCTAAACAAATAGGAAAATAGGAAAACAAATCATAATAATATCTAAGCAGTATGAAAAATAATCTTAAGAGATAATCTAAGATACTCTAAGATTATAAACTAATCCTAGGTAATAAATTAAGATACTCTAAGATTAGAAACTAATCCAGAATATAAGCTAATATACTCTAACATAACATAAAGATTTTTTATAAGACATTTTATTATAGTCTAACTGATGGTTCCTTGTTCTTGTAGATATTTGGTATGCTGTGGTGTTATTTATCAACGAGTTTTCCTAATATAGATAAGAAAACATCATATTGCAAATATATTTAAATCTAGAATAACAATACATGTATTAAAAAATTTAGAATAGTTGTCATCAAGCTATATGCTCGTTCGATGTTGCATTTTTGGGGCTGTTCCCTCCTCTCTGCTTTCCAGAACTGATAACAATGTTCAAAACTAGGCAAGAATAAAGTGCACTGTTACCTATAAACTGGGAATCCTTTTGCCAATTGAATTGACATTGTTTCTCCTAAGTTCCGTCTATTTTCTCCTATATAAGAATTTATTTTGACTGTCAGGGAACAGTTGTGGTTGCTGGTAGGGCAAGAGCTATTGTGGTTGGAGTTGGTCCTAACACTGCCATGGGCAGCATACGTGATTCAATGTTGCGAACAGAGGATGTAAGCATTATGTTTCCCTCTCATAGTGGCTTTTACTGTTGTAATTATATCATTACTGCCTGTCATTTTGTCTACTGGCATTCCGATAATATTTTAGTTTTTGATTGATTTCTTTTGTGGCCATTGAGTGTAAAATGTCGGTTCAAAACACACACGCACTGAAGGAATTTCTCTTCCATGCATATTCAAGTAGGAATGTGACGGTCTTTCATATAAATGGGTGGTTAACGGGTGATTATAATTGAAAAGGCGGCATTGTTTGCTTATTATTGCGATATCATAATTGGGAATCGTAATTACAACATCATGAAACGGTGCTTAAATTTGCAATGTCTAGATAATATACATAATCTTATTTGTATTATTTAATGATACTTGGGTTGTTATACTACATGGAATTTAAGTGTGGATAGATCATAGATATTCTTGTAAGTTAGAAGTTTTGCTTGAGGAGCAATGTTTGCAGAATCGCGAGTTAACTCGCAAAAATGTACGATCCACGTTTTTTCCCCAAAATTTTGTGCTGCGATCCAGGTAACATTCGTATATCACAAACTCGGTAAACTCGACTGAGTTGATAATCGGAATCGTTTTGTATTTCTGAAAGCGGCGCACGTTTGTTTTGGAATTCTGAAAGCGGTGCTTATGTTTTTTTGGGTATTTTTAATAAAAAACCCTAATTTTCTAAAACGGGCTTGGATCCGGGTGGGATGTTATTTAATTCTGATATTATTGTTAACTTTTTAAAAAGAGAAATATGTGACACAATTGAAATTGTCATTAAATTAAAATCTTTTCATTCGATTCCAGCCTTCGGAAAAGCTTCTTCCTTTAATTCCGCAGCCTTATTTCTTTCTCATTAACCTCACTAACCGTTACAATTTTTCAGCATAAATTCTATTATCTCATTCACGACTCTTCTCACAAACAACCTTGCTTCTTTCTGTGAACAGTACCGCAGTTTTTACGTCTGTTTTCCTTTATATATATGATCATTTTGGAGCATATGCATGTAATTCTACATATAAAAATATTTTTTTCTACTAGTAGTAGAATCTTACGATCCGTGTTACGATCCTCGAGTTACGATTTTTAAATCCTCTACCGATTTTGAGTAAGCTCTCGTTTTTTAAACATTGTTGAGGAGGCCTAGATCTGGCTTCCATTAGCGTTGTTGGGTGTGAAATTAGTGTATCTGATTAAATCAGAGGAAAGTTTGACAGACTCCTAATGTTAGCAAGTTATATGGGATTTTACTGGAGTCTTGCTGATGGTGTATAAATCTATGGATCAAGTAAAGTGGTTTTTTGTCGGTAAATTTGATATTTTTAATTGTTGTAGGAACACTGTTAGTCTGTATCTTTGCAGCCGCTGTCATGTATTCATACTGACTCAGCTGATTCTTGGTCAGCTCTGAGCCCATTGTTAGTTTGTTAGGAATTAGTTTCTGTTGGCAGTCTTTATTAGATAGATAGTAGATGCTCATGTATAGAGTTTTAAGATTTAGTCACAGTAATCAATAATAAGTTTCAGTTTTCTCTAAACTTTTTTTTACACTTTTCTTACTTTTTTGTGGTTTCTACCTCTAATGTGAGTATTGGTATGGCTAGCTAGTGTCGTTCCACCGGTAGTCATTTTTAGAGGTTGACATGTATATGGAGTCGAAGGAAACTTTGTTTTACCTTCAGAATATACTTACAGTGACTGTGGTACTACTAAAGCGGGGAAACCTTGTTTGATTGGTCAGAATGTTCTAACATGCAATATGTGTGCGTCTTTGTTCTTCCTTCCCTGGCCCACAGAAAGCAACAAGTTACTTTGGATTGTTAGAAACACATCTGAAGCATTTGCACTTTTGTCTATGATTGGTTGCAGGAGGTGACACCGTTGAAAAAGAAGCTGGATGAATTTGGCACTTTTTTGGCCAAGGTAATTTATAGTTGTCTGATTTTGTTGTTTTTCAAACCTATGGGTAGCTCTATTGGTGATTATTGCATTGTTTTATTATAATTTACATCCAATAAGCTATATGATAGGGATAAGAATTTAGAGGCTCAACCTCTAAGAGTTTGTTAGGAATTGAAGTGGGATTAATTAGTGTTTTGTATTGTAGTTGTTATGCTTTTTTGTTTGTTTTCTTCTCTTTCAGATAATCTGGTACCAAGGCGGTTAGGGGTTGTTAGCTGCCCTTGGTTTTAGGAGTCTCAGTAGCTTAAAGACCTTCTCCGTTATTCCCTTGTATAGGAAGTCTATAAATAGACTTCCCTCCTCCTGTTAGAAGGATCTTTGGTTTTTTTGTTTAGTTGCTGGGCATCACCAGTAGTGGGGAGTATCTTTCCTCAGTGTATCTTTATACCTATTTTCAAAATTAATAAGCTCCGGGGACAAATAATTCCCCTTCACCCAGGCCTGTTCCAGTCCTTATCAAGCAAATTATAACACTATACAATGTTTGTATTTTCAGCCTATAGCAATCTAGTTACCTTATTTTATCCTAAATTTACTTTTTACTAAGCTCTTTTGAAGATGAGCAAATGATGTTTTTGATTAAAATGAAATTTCCATCCAGGGACCTCCTTTTCCACTTTTCACATTTATTTTTGAATTCTGACGGTGGTTCCTATATTTGTGTTACAGGTTATTGCAGGCATATGCGTGTTGGTTTGGATTGTAAATATTGGTCACTTTCGTGACCCTTCTCATGGTGGTTTTGTGCATGGGGCAATTCATTATTTTAAGGTTTGTTCTGAAATTTAATTTATTTCTAAATTTCTTTTGGGGACTTTATTAGTTGAACTGTTCTCTGTATTGAACATAGATATCTATTTATCCTTGTATAGTCCGTTATGTAAGTTTCACAAGCATCACGATGGAGTCTTGTATTGCTTTGCATTTATTATTACAATTTATGCATAATCCCTCTTTGTTTTGATCTGCTCTTAGTTATAGTGTGCTTTCCAATAAAAGAATATATCAGTATTAGATTTTTCATAGTAGGTCTGACCCATCCTAACAAAATTAGTTTGCAAGGTGAAAATGTCACTATTTGAAAAAGTATTTTCAAGACTTATCTTTTTTCAATGTGCAACTTAGTTTTTTCTAATACACCTAGTACCATTGGGCTTGGTGCATGGATAATAGAGTGGGTGACCTGATCAACATGCTCAAATGTCATATTAAGTTTTTTTATTTTGGGCCTAATTCATCCTTATAGATCATTTCCAGACATTATCTCTTCTCAATGCGAGACTTGAAATTTTCAAAACAATCATATAATATACTTTCTACCTAACATGAAAGTTTGTTAGTTTGTGTTGGAAGTAGTAGCAATTATGAAAGGTTGGAATTAGTAACAATTATTAGTATGGGAAGTTGCATAATCTAGTTAGTCTCGCATCTAGGAAATAACATCCATGCACCTAGGAAATGGCATTATTATTAATCTCATTATAAATGTAAATTACAATTATTTCTAATAATATATATATAAATAGATCAGCTGAGTGCAAATCACTCGAGCATTCCACAAATCTCTTAATCCTCTATCAAAGTCTTTTAACATGGTATTAAGAGCTTGTTCATTTCTCCATTGAGTTTCTATCTCTGGTCCAGTACAACCCTTAAATCTTCCTTGATTTGAAAAAAATATTTCTTCCATCCAAAAGTCATTGTTACTTTCATTTTCTAGTCTCCATTTCTAGTTGTTGCTTGCTGGTCCACTCAGTTTTTTTTGAAGAAAATGGGTAATATGGCTCACAATCAAAAGACATGTTACTCTCTTCATGGTTTTCCTGGATAGTCATCTCATAGGTCGACTGCCACTAGTGTTCATGCTTCCGCAGCCTTTATATCTCAATCTTGTAGCAATCAAAATCTTTGGATAATTGATTCCGGCGCCTCTGATCATATTGCTGGTAATCGTTCCTTATTCTCTTCCATATCCTCTCCTAAATTTCCTCACTTCATAACTCTAGCAGATGGTTCTAAGGTCACTGCCAAAGGAATCAACCATGTTTCTGTCACTTCTTCTATAACTTTGAAATCAGTTTTGTTTATACCTGATTGTCCTTTTAATTTAATCTCCCTTAGCCACCTTACTCGGTCTCTAAATTGCACAGTAACCTTTGATGTTGGTTCGTTTACTATACAAGAACGTGGTACAGGTCGGACGATTGGCTTAGGACATGAATCACATGGTCTTTATTACCTCCATTCAGTTCCTTCTGTAAGTTGTACTGCGATTGAGTCTCCAAACCTTCTTCATGAACGATTGGGTCATCAAAGTCTGTCAAAATTAAAACAAATAGTTCTGAATCTTGCAAAAATTTCATCATTAAATTGTGAGTCGTGTCAACTAGGAAAGCATGTTCGCTCTTCCTTTTCAAGCAAAGTTGAAAGTCGAGTTGATTCTCCCTTTTCTGTTATCCATTCAGATATATCGGGACCAAGTCGTATGCCTTTTAGCAGTTACCGATATTTTGTTACTTTTATTGATGAATTCTACCGATGCACTTGGGTTTTCTTAATGAAAGAACGATCTGAACTTTTGTCCATTCTCACTACTTTTGTCAATGAGGTTAAAACCTAATTTGGTAAGAAAATCAAAATTCTTAGAAGTGATAATGCAAAAGAATATATTTCTTCTAGTCTTTCTTCCTTTTTGTCATCACATGGTATTTTCCATCAATCAAGTTGTCCTCATACCCCTCAACAGAATGGCATAGCTGAAAGGAAGAATAGGTATCTTGTTGAAACTGCTCGAACCTTGTTACTTCATGCAAATGTATCTGTCCGACATTGGGGTGATGCAGTTTTGACATCATGTTTTTTGATTAATCGAATGCCTTCTTCCTCTCTTGATCATAAAATACCACATTCCATTCTATCTCCCAAAGAACCGTTGTTTCATATTGCTCCTCGAATATTTGGATGCATATGTTTTGTTCATGACTCCAGGTCTTGATAAGCTTTCTGTCCGAGCCATAAAATGTGTTTTTCTGGGGTACTCTAGGTTACAAAAAGGTTACATATGTTACTCCCCTATGCAGAATCGTTACTACATTTCCGCAGATGTAACATTCTTCGAAGTAAAGTTTTACTTCTCACCGTCCAGAGTTGAGTCTCATACTACTCAAGAAGTTTTTTCCAATTCCTTATCTTGGTCCATCACCTTCCCTTGTCCCAAAATCAGTTTTGACTACTAATATTTCTGAACATTCTCCTCTTGAGTAATCTCAAAGATCACCCATCGTATACCAACGTCGTCCACATGTTGCTAATACATAATTGGAAGGCATTGAAAGACGATATGACTCATGTCCTGCACCAGTAGATGACCCTACTACAAATCTTCATGAAGAAAATCTTGACTTGCCCATTGCTCTTCGAAAAGGTACTCGGTCTACTAGCAATCCCCATCCTATTTATAACTTCCTAAGTTACCATCGTCTCTCTCCTTTTTATTATTCTTGTGTCATCTATATCTTCTATTTCCATTCCTAAAAATGTTTCTGAAGCACTTGATCATCCAGGATGGCGACAAGCAATGATTGACGAAATGAAAGCTTTAGAACATAATGGTACTTGGGAATTAACTCCTCTCCCTCCGGGAAAGAAACCGATTGGATGTTGATGGGTATATGTTATTAAAGTTGGGGCCAATGGTCAGATTGATCGTCTCAAAGCTTGACCTGTTGAAAAAGGATATTCCCAAATTTATGGACTTGATTATGGAGATACTTTCTCTCCTGTGGCCAAAATAATGTCTGTTCGGTTATTTATTGCCATAGCTGACATTCATCGTTGGCCATTATATCAGTTGAATATTAAAAATGCGTTTCTTCATGGTGAGTTGGAAGAAGAAATTTATATGGAGCAACCTCCTGGATTTGTTGCTTAGGGGGAGTCCGGTTTAGTTTGCAGATTACGATGATCTCTCTATGGTTTGAAACATTCACCACGAGCATGGTTTGGGAAATTTAGTTCAGTTATTTAAGCTTTTGGAATGAAACATAGTGAAGCAGATCACTCTGTCTTCGATTGTCATACATCGCCAAATAAATGTGTTTATTTGGTGGTTTATGTAGATGATATAGTCATAACAGGGAATGATGAGGAGAAATTTTCTCAATTGAAAGAACATTTATGTAGCCATTTTCAAACTAAGGACTTGGGGAAGCTTAAATATTTTCTTGGGATTGAAGTTGCTCAGTCAAAGGATGGAATTATCATCTCACAAAGAAAGTGTGCATTAGACATACTTAAAGAAACCAGTATGTTGCAATGTAAACCAGTTGACAGTCCCATGGATCCGAATGTAAAATTACTTCCTAGTCAGGGGGAGCCTTATTCTAATCCAGAAAGATATCGGAGATTGGTTGGAAAACTCATTTATCTAACTATAACAAGACCAAATATTTCCTTTGCAGTTGGCGTAGTAAGTCAATTCATGCAGTGTCCACATAATGATCATTGAGATGCAGTGACCCGAAATCTTTAGTACATTAAAAGGGTTCCAGGACAAGGACTACTTTATGAAGACAAAGGGGACACTCAAATAATTGAGTTTTGTGATGCAGATTGGGCAGGTTCGCCTATTGATGGGCGTTCCACTTCAGGATATTGTGTTTCTATTGGTGGGAATCTTGTCACTTGGAAGAGCAAGAAGCAAAATGTGGTTGCAAGGTCTAGTGCTGAGGCTGAATATAGAGCTATGGCTACAGCCACTTGTGAACTTATCTGGATTAAACAACTTCTTCAAGAGTTAAAGTTTGGAGATACTCAACCAATGAAACTATGTTGTGATAATGAGGCAGCTCTACATATAGCTTCCAGTCCGGTATTCCATGAGAGAACTAAGCATATTGAAATTGATTGTCATTTTGTTCGTGAGAAAGTTCTTTCTAAAGAAATCATCACTGAGTATACTACCTCAAATGACCAATTGGCAGACGTCTTCACAAAATCCCTAAGGGTACCGAAAATTCAATACATTTGTTCCAAGCTTGGAGCATTTGACTTATATGCTCCAACTTGAGGGGGAGTGTTAGAATTAGTAGCGATTATGAAATGTTGGAATTAGTAACAATTATTAGTATGAGAAGTTGCAGAATCTAGTTAGTCTTGCATCTAGGAAATAACATCCATGCACCTAGGAAATAGCATTATTATTAATCTCATTGTAAATGTAAATTACAATTATTTCTAGTAGTATATATAAATAGATCAGCTGAGTGCAAATCACTCAAGCAGCATTCCACAAATCTCTTAATCTTCTATCAAAGTCTTTTAACAACTTGTAATCACATTTCTTCTAGATTGCAGTTGCTCTGGCCGTTGCAGCAATTCCTGAAGGTCTCCCTGCTGTTGTAACGACGTGAGTCTATGACTTTTCTTTGTTGTTTGTCTGATCTTCCAATTTTTTTAAACTTCGATATTTGTGAAGTATACATAGATATTTTGACATGGCTGTTCATATTGAATCTAATTATATATATAAGTGGTATTCTTGAGACACCATTAGTTTAGTTTTCTGTGAGATGAAAGGTGAAATTCCTGTTTAGTAGACATTTACTGACTACAGTTTGGTTAATAACTCTCTTCTGATATTGTAAGCTAGCAAAATAAAAAGGAAGAAACATACACCAAATTTCTAAGTTGTTTCTTTGTCATGATTTGTACCAATATGACGTTGAGTTCACCACTCGAATATGTTGTGATTTATACTATATTGATGATGTTGTTGTGGTTTACACTATATCGATGATGTTGTTGTAATTCTAATTTTTTTCACTAGTTGATTTTTTTGACAACAAAGAGATCCATGAAAAATGGTTTTTCTAACTCATTGTGGTTGACTACAAATACATATATGAACCAAAGAAACCCATTTAGCTAATGTAAAACTTTGTCAAATCTACTTTGCATCAATCAGAAAAGAAATTCATTTATACAGAGACTAAGCTTTAACCAAACTTGTTAACTTGAGAAACAATATAAAACAAATGTAAAAAGAGAAATATCAATGGAGTAAAGCAGTAGTTCGCCAATATGATTGTAAAGAAAACTCCTAAAAAAGGCCACACAATTTACTCTAAATATTATACTAATAAATGAGTGATAAATATCTAAACTTAGTACAATAAACTTATACTGATGTTCTGAGATGCAATGTTTGAATTAATATGCCTACTATTTATATGTCCGTCTTTTCCTTTTTCTGTATATATATTTGGACTTGATTGGCACATGACTCACTTAAACTATGTTTTAATCTTAACCCCACAATTAAATCTAAGGGCTACTGTTTATTCTTTTCATTTTCACATGAACACGATTCTCACTTGATATGTTCCCTATCTATACATATATTGTATTGAGTACTTTTCTTTCATAATAGGTGTTTGGCTCTTGGAACAAAGCGAATGGCTAGGTTGAATGCCATTGTTCGCTCTTTGCCGTCCGTTGAGACCTTGGGATGCACCACTGTAATCTGCAGTGACAAAACTGGGACTCTAACTACCAATATGATGTCAGTTGCAAAGGTAAATTTTGGTCAGACATTTAATAGGATTATGTGATGTGTATACTTGTGAGTCAACCTCTTAACGATATTATGGGTAGTTACAAGTTGTCATAATAGACAGAATGCTACCTTCAAGAAGAATCCAACTCCTGCAAGATTACAATAGGACAACCAATATCGTTCCTATTTTCCAGCGACTTAGTGCTTTCAGATTTATTCATGTACTATTTTACTTTTTTGTGAATTTTTGTATTGCCACAAGTGTCCAATCTGCTTGGGGGAAAGTACTGTTAAACTGACTTTGGTCAGTTTTGTATGAATTATGTTTTTAAGTGGCAATTATTATACTATTAGATGCAGTTTAGTGGTAGTTATTTATATATTATATTATTATTATTATTAGGAGAAGATATGTTTGATTAATTATGAGTGTTTATGTTTAGAATAAGCCATAGGGAAGGGTTTATTAACGGGGAATTTTATTGAGTGGTTAGTGAGAGAAACCCAACTAACATTTGTGAAGGGGAGATGTCAAAGCTCTTGAAACCTCGAAGAACAATTATTCTAGTGCTATTATGTGCGATTTGTGATTTGTGTATTCTCTGTACTGTAATTCTGTTTGTATTGATAAATATAAAATGATTGTCTAAATTCTATGTTGTAATGAACCGGTTTCTATCACCGTCCCTCAATTTCCTTTGTTTTGTCACTTATTGATACTTATTTTGGGAGTTTTTTGCATGAAACATTCAAATTAATAATAACCCCGTTGCTACAATTTTTTGAACTTCTTCAATTAAAAAATTCAGATACATACATGATACATCTTCCTGGAATTACTAGAGTCCTTCCTTTCTTATAATAAAGACAATCTGCTGCTAGATGTTGAAGGTATTAATAGTATTCAATCTTTGGGTCCTGTATTATTGCAATTAACTGATACCAACTGCTGTATACGGGGAATATGCACACAATTTTAGGTTCAGGTTGAGAATGTGATACAAAATTGATACACACATTGCTTTGTCTTTATCTGTCATGTAAATTCAATCTGCGTATCTTTTTGGCACACGATTCAAGGAGACTGATATTTCAAATTTTTGTGTCCTCGTCTATTGGAAACTTCCAAACTAAACATCTATTCTTTATTTTGTTATCACGTATTTCTGTCATACTTGACATGCTTTTTCATAACATTTCTAGGAAATATTTCTCTTTTCCATTTTTTACTCTATTTTTTCCCTTGAGGCTTACAGATGAGTAGTTTTAGCAATTTCTTTAACCTACATTTGCCCGCCTCATGTTTCTGCTTGTACAGATATGTATTGTTGAGTCTGCAAAAAGTAGTCCTTTTGTTACAGAATATGGTGTCAGTGGAACAACATATGCACCTGAAGGTATAATTTTTGACGAGGCAGGGGTGCAGGTACAATTCTTTTTTTTCTTTTCGTTCTCATATTTATGCATTCCTGCAGAAGCAAAACAAATGCCACATTTAAAACTAAGTAATTAACTAATATAAGGAGAGAAGTGTCCCCTATTTCAAAGGGGACCTTAACTTCCTCGTCAGAGATCCAAGTAAGGATATTGATTGTTATGTATGTTCTGTTTATGGCTTTGTGGGCGGGCATTCACACTGCTTTACTCTGGAAATATTTGCACAAGGACTGCATTAAATTGAGCCCTTTCTCTAATGGATTTTTCCAAAACATGAATTTATAATTGATATTAGCACATGTATTATAATTAGGGTATGCATAAGTATATACAGCTTTATTTTTAGTTAAAGCAATGTGACATTTGATTATTTTGCAGCTTGGCATTCCAGCTCAATCACAATGCCTTCTTCACATGGCTATGTGTTCTGCTCTTTGCAATGAGTCAACCCTGCAGTATAATCCTGATAAAGGGAAGTATGAAAAAATTGGTGAGTCAACTGAAGTGGCACTACGTGTTTTGGTAGAAAAGGTATGTATTTGTACCTTTCCCTGTGTCTCGTTTGTGTGAAGCTCCTTCCTACTCAAATATAATTCTTGGTCATTTGTATATCTATAGGTCGGTCTCCCTGGTTTTAATTCTATGCCGTCAGCATTGAATATGTTGAGCAAGCATGAGCGCGCTTCTTACTGTAACCATTATTGGGAGGAACAATTTAGAAAGGTGTGGTTCAGCAAGTTTATTACCTTTCTTTTCTATTTATTTTCCAACATTCATCTATTTTAGGAAAGTAAGAATATTGAAGAATATCAATAAGGTTTTTGAAATATCCTTCACGCCTTTCTAGTTGATATGAATCCACTATTATACAAGAGAGGTTTCCATAAGTTCAAGGAAACACACAGCACAAATAAATAATAAATTATACACAATGAATCTGAGCTTGTATAACTAATCTAACCTTAGACACAATATGTAGAACAGTGTCAGCCAAAATAGATTGAAATAGTTTGATCACCAGGAAATATGAAATTTATTGTAAATGTCGATTGTTTGTTTGGCTTTTCAGTATTTACTCTCACTCTTTGAGCTTGATGTTTTGCAGTTAGATATTTTGGAATTTTCTAGAGATCGGAAAATGATGAGTGTCCTTTGCAGCCGGAACCAGTTACTTGTTTTATTTTCCAAAGGTGCTCCAGAAAGTATAATCTCTAAATGTACAACCATTCTATGCAATTGCGATGGTTCTGTCATGCCACTTACTGCTGATATTCGATCAGAGCTGGATTCAATGTTCAACAGGTTAGGTTTTTATCATTAATGGTGTAATCTGCATACATATACACTCTTGTGTTTTGTATATCTTTTACCTTCCTTTTGGGGCTCAATTCCAAATAAGAAACAATAAGAAAAAATTAAGTAATATTTGTGGTATACCAGCTTTCCTTGCAAGGGAATTAATTCCCATATTCATCAGCAAGGGGCTATTTACTATGAAGCACAGACACCTCAAACACGATCCTGACACTGGCATTTATAATAATTTGAAAAAAATGAATAAATTAAACGGATACGCTTTTTTTCAAAGGTGTCGGTGTTACATAGACTATTAGTTATATAACCTAAATCCCTTGTTCAGGTAGTCAGTACAAAGCTTCCGAATTTTTTTAATAATACTTGTTTTTGAATATGATATCATCTATTAATACTATTAATTTTTTAGAAATCATATATAATTTTATTTTATATACTTTTTATTTTGATATAATTAGACATCACCTGATTTCACAGTTTGATCTAACTGGTCGAACTGTTAAATCTGAATTGAAAATTTTAATGGTTCGCTGTCTAATCTAGCTTTGACATGGGGCCACCCACTTTCACTAAGTGGCGTTTTTACCAAATATTTTCCAAAAAGTAATTCTTCGACTTCTGTAACTCAAGTGGCATGCGACCATTGCTGCCTACAAAGAAGAAAATCTTTTTATCCTTTTATTTTACCACACCATTGCTGATGTATTCAAAATCTATACTCATTCAAATTTAATAAAAATGGAATCAAATGTGACATTCAAAATATGATTGAGAAGTTATACAAAAACAAAAATTTAATATTCATTCGGGTTGATTTGGGTACCCGCGGGTCTATTTAAATGAACCGAACCCGCCCATTGAAGTCCATTTGAAACCGAGGTTCGGGCCCGATGAACCGCCAACCCGTTCCAATCTGGCTTAATTCGGTTTTTCGGATTGGACCGGTTTGTGGTTTATTGTCCAGTCCTACTTATATGATGCCTCTTGTATTATGCAGCTCATGAAAAAAAAAACAAAGGAATTGGTTTTCTGATTTGGTTAGTACAGATTGGGCCGGTTTGTGGTTTATTGTCCGGTCCTACTTATAATGATAGCTCTTGTGTTATGCAGCACTGAAAAAAGAAAAGAAAAGGAATAGGAGTACTGATTTTAAATAGAGAAATAGATTATAATTTATTTCTTACTAAAAGTTAGGAAAAGAGAACTTACCAAAATACGAGGAATTTTTTGTCGTCTACAGTTTTTAGACAATTGCAGGAATCCGAATAGAGTGGTGGAAACATAAAAGCTTAATCATAATTTTGATTCCTTTAATTTGGACTATGTGCGGTATTGTCCCCTTCATAACTTTTTGAGCGATTTTAATTTCAATTTTTTATTTATTTTACAAGTCCATCAATGATCCCTCCTTTCTATTACTTAAAACATTAAAAACTCATAATCTACTGAGTTTTTCATAAATTAAATTGATTAAATTATTTTAAAGATTCTTTGACTTAAAGCTCACTGATTAAAACCAATCTGAATTCAATAATGAAAATTTATTTTTTTCCTCTTTTAACCCAAATCCACCATCTAACAAAATCTTTACAACTTTATCAATTTTTTTCTAAATATTTAACTTTTAAAATTTCATATTTTAAAGTCATTATCAAGCCCTACTTTTTTTTATTAAAAAAATGAAACTTTAAGGTTTTGAGGTGAGAAAATTGACGGTAAGATCATGTTTCCTTGATTTGTATGGATTCGATTAGCTTGAAAAAGTTTGAGTGACCAAAATTGTACATAGCTTAAATTAGAGGGACAAAAAGTATAATTAAGCCTAACAAAAAGGACCTCAGTGTCACAACTTTCTTTTCTTGTTTATCTCACCAGATTACTATGGTGACTGAAGACTCTTCTTGTTTCAGTTTGGCCATTTTATACTCTTAATACAGTTCCATTTTGAAATTCTGATCTAACTTCTGGACTTAAATAATATATCTGTTGACCATTGTTGTTGTCCTCCTTCACTCTACATTTTTTGGTTTTAAACTCTTTTCTGAACACCCTTTCATATGTGTTGATAACATACAACTTGTTGGCCAGTTTTGCAGGAAAAGAAACATTGAGATGCCTAGCTTTGGCTCTCAAATGGATGCCCTCAGATCAACAGACGGTGTCCTTTGATGATGAGAAGGACCTCACGTTTATTGGATTGGTATGCTCCTCTTTACAATTTATAATACAAACTTTAGATATTGTTTTTAAGTTATAACAATATCTACCCTTCTTGCCTATTGCATGATATTTTGTTAAGGGGGTTGTTAAGTGTTGTTTTTTTTGGTTAAGAGTTAGATAGTAAGTTAATAAGTTTGTTAGGGGGTTGTTAAGTGTTGTTATTTTTGGTTTTTCTTAGGAAGTCTTTCAATAAACTCAATTGGTAGAGGGTAATGATAGGTTTGAATAGTTAAAAATTGCGAGAATGGTCTAGTGTGAGACAAGAGTACTCCTTTGGAGTAGCCTTGTTTGCAAAGTTATTAGAGCCTAACCCAAATTCTGAGATGGTATCAGAGCTTATCCTAGATCCATTGTTGGGCTTTCCGCATCGTCCACGCTTCGGGCTCATTGAGGCTCAAGCGTGAGGGGGTGTGTTCGACTTTCCACCTTAATTGCGGTCCGCCCCTAGTCGCCTTATTTGCGGCACTTTGGTTTGTCTTCATTGCAGCCCCTAACACCATTGTGTTGGCTTTGAAGGGGTGAATTTAGTCCCACTTTGCTTCGAGATATGGCTTATTTTGTGTTTATAAGTGGGGGCAATCCTGACCCTCTACAAGCCGGTTTTGTAGGTTGAGTTAGGCTCAACCCACACATTCTAAGATGGTATCAGAGTCCGGTTTAAGATCCGTTGGGCCACCCATCATTTAGTTCCACGCTCCAGACGTTCAATCCTGGGCGTGGGAGCATGTGTTTATAAGTGGGGACAATCCTCACCCTACAAGTCAATTTTGTAGTTTGAGTTAGGTTCAACCCAGACATTCTAAGAATCTTTCTTGTAAACCTTTTATACCTTCTCTTTCAATCTCCCTACACAAATAAGAAAACCAGTTTTTGAGAATTAGTTTTTGCTCAAAGAAAGGATCCTAACTTTTTTTCTTTATATAATGTTCTAATAACTGGAAAAGATTAACTGCCAGCTCTTAATAAATCAGTTTCGTTGCTAAAATATATGTAAAGCTAAGTTAATCATATCAACACATACTAGGAAAGAACTAAATTAGGGGAAAATAGGGAAGTCTCAGTAGGCTTCAAGAACCCTTTTCTTGTCTTGACTTTGCTCTGTTTTTTAAATATGTTTGTTTTACAATATTTACCTTTTTCGTTTCTGGGTTTCTGTTATCCCTTATGTAGGTTGGGATGCTGGATCCACCAAGAGATGAAGTAAGAAATGCCATGCTTTCATGTATGACTGCTGGCATACGCGTTATAGTTGTCACTGGAGATAACAAGGTTCTCAAAGTTCTGAAATTTTTTTTGTTCATTTTATCCTTGAATCCATATGTCTTGTCTAATGTTACTTCTTGCTTAATCAGTCCACTGCTGAGTCACTTTGCCGCAAGATAGGTGCTTTTGACCATTTGATAGATTTTACTGAACATTCTTACACTGCTTCTGAGTTTGAAGAACTTCCAGCACTGCAACAAACTATAGCATTGCAGCGTATGGCACTTTTTACCAGGTATATTACCAGATTGTGGCATGAATAGAAGCACATTTGTTGTCTTTGTTTATTCTTTTGTAGATCAAGAACTAATATTAAGAGTTGCACGTTTTGATTTTTTGTTAGGGTTGAGCCTTCTCATAAAAGGATGCTGGTTGAGGCATTGCAGCACCAAAATGAAGTGGTATGATTGCTTCCATGTTCACAAAATTATCTGTAATTACTAACTAGTAAAGGATTTACCTTTGGGCGCTTCTTTTTGTTTCCTGTCTTCAGAGGTCTCTTAATTCTCATGTTCTTGTTGTAAAAAGTTTTCTTCATCAAAATATAGTTTTTTGTATGTCACTTTTTCAGCAACTGGATTGTGAGGATCATATATCTTTGGCTACAATCCTTCTAATCTTACACCTGTATAGTTGTTGGTCAAATTATCAATGGATTGGTGACCATGGAGATGATATAGAGGAATAGCATGTCTTAAGAGTGTCCGACCTACCAAAGATAGCATAACATTGTAAATACTTTATAATATCCACTTAAATGCTTAAAGGTAAAGACATTTTCGCCATTAAAAATTTAAAATCCCGGCTTGAAGACTATTACCATTACTACGAAGTACAGCTAACAAGTTAATAATAGTCCACTAGTACAAAAGTACAGTACCAAATGAGTGTTTGAAGCTTGAAAATCACCAGGCTGCTGGACAAAGAAATGCGTTGAATGAGAGAAAACGAGAAACATTTGGGGAAACTATGTTTAGACTACACCACGGAATTTCTATTATATAGGCAATAATACAATGATGAGTATTAATTACAAAAGATTATGCTAAGGGATAATCTGCAAATATACTATGCTAAGAAAATATTCTAGAATACGCTAGAATATATTTACATATTATTCCTATATTAATATTTTAGTATTAAATGTTAACAAAACGTAATGCTTGAAAAGAGTTTTGTAAAGTGCTGATAGTGGTGGGACAAAGGTTAGAAGTGCAAAACAGATTTACAAACACGTCTTCCTATTGCCTGGCTGGTGAACCCATTATTCTCCGGTGGGAAATGGGGTTCAATGCAAGAAAAGTGGTTCACCTTAGTTTTGAAGGGTTATGTGCCTGAAGATGAAAACAGAGGTGGTTGCAATAGGTTCTCTTTAAAGAAATCGTGTTTCGAACCCTAAAGTGCTTCTTATGCATTAAGAAAGTAACTATAATATCCATTAAGAAATGGTCAGAAACAAAAATAGGTTTTGGGTTCTGTACCTGGCACAACAGACCCTTGATGTGCACAACAGAAATGATCAATGTGATAGAACATCATTTTTGGCTGGGGCCATGAAGCAATGCAGCTGTGCTAGGGCACACTATAGTTCTCTAAACTACTCTATGCCCTAGAATTTTTAGTTTCCTGTATCATTATAATTGTAGACAAGTGGGCATTATTATTTCTACAATTGCTAAAAGTGTTTCTTTCAAATTTGAGAAAATTCATAATGTTAATCTTTTAGGTTGCAATGACTGGTGATGGAGTCAATGATGCACCTGCCTTGAAGAAGGCAGATATAGGAATTGCTATGGGATCAGGGACTGCTGTTGCTAAGGTGTCATCAACTGTCCCTACTTTCCTCCTTTTATTCCTTGTCTAGTCAATAATCCTGATCAGTTTGATGTTTTTCTCCTTATTTTTACAGAGTGCTTCAGACATGGTTCTGGCTGATGACAATTTTGCCTCAATTGTTGCGGTATGCTAGCATATCCATTGTTCTTGTCAAGTTTTCTTTCCTTCTCTTTGCTTATTACTTTATTTCTTTTTTGCTCTTGATTGAAAAAGAAATTTCCTCATACAACTTCAGAATCTCCATGTCTATGTAGGCCGTGGCAGAGGGAAGGGCTATATACAATAATACAAAGCAGTTTATTAGATACATGATTTCTTCCAACATTGGTGAAGTAGTATGTATATTTGTGGCTGCAGTGCTTGGAATACCTGATACCCTGGCCCCTGTGAGTTTAGAGTAGTATTATTTAGCAATTGATATCATAATAAAAGAAACTAAAAGCCATTCTATGATATTCTCTTGTTAATTATCTTATAATGCAAATTTTTTATAATAAATAATTTAAACCCGTATAAATTTCCAATTTTTTTTAATTATTTGTCAATGACTCTGGGCCCTGGCACTTATAGCTTGTTCTTCTTAATTAATGTATTATCATTGGAAAATGGTAGAATGCATCTTGAAGGGTGGTAGACAGTGTGTCTCCTCATTCAGTGTTGCGCAAAATGAGATTTTCATTTTTGATTCAGTAAATAATATAGCTTTAACATTTTTCATTTTAATCTCCCCAATCCTTCCAGGTCCAGTTGCTTTGGGTCAATTTGGTCACTGATGGATTGCCTGCCACTGCTATTGGCTTCAATAAGCAAGACTCTGATGTGATGAAGGTTAAGCCTAGAAAGGTACTCTACTAACAGTTCATTGTCGTAGTTGTATTTGATTAGTTGTTCAAAATTTTAAGAATCAAGATCATTACTATATGTCATGAAAAAGTCAACCCAAATTCTTCTAGAATTTAGCTAGATGCTGATTGAGGATGGTTGTTGGGTAGGAGTAACATATGACGACCACAAATCCATTTAAGAGTGAAAAATGATAAGCATGCCAACTCATTCTGTCTATCTAATGAACAAAGTTCTAGCTTAGCTGCATTTTTCTTGTGAATATAATTAGACATTTCTAGTAGGAAACACCGTATCCGGTATTCTTTATCTCTTAACAGATTATGTTGCAAAGTATTATTGTCTTTGAATTAGTTTTAAAATATTTGTTATTGGTTTTACAATTAATTTGAAAATAAAAATTTATATTTGGATATTTTTCATAATTGATTTGAAGGGAGATGATTTCATTTAAATTGAATAAAAGAACTGCTTTTAAGTATCAAATTGCTGAGAGATATGTAATGGTTAAAAAGTTATTTGATTGATATCAAAATGATATTATCTATGTTAGACCTGTGAAATAAGCAATCACGTTAGATTGTAGGCAAAATGCTAAAATCCCAGTGAACTTTGATGCCAATACAAAACACTGTAATTAACCGAAAGTTGCTGATCTCATAAGATTATAAGACCCATCATTAAAAAAATTCCAATCGCACTCTCATTTTGTCACATTTATTCCATTTTGCATCTTCAGGTGAATGAAGCAGTTGTTACAGGTTGGCTCTTCTTTCGGTATTTGGTAATTGGAGGTAACCACAATATCACAATGTCATTTGTTTTTCTTGACTTTGTGAAATAATTGAAGCATATGCTTGAAACCATGGGTTTGAACTATATCATGAACTTGATATTTGTATGGTGAATACAAAGTGATTATGTGTATATGATACACTGAATCTATGATTTTATATAATGAGTTTAGACACGGAGTGGAAATAAGTAGCCATTTATTATTCATAAGATTGTTAGAACTTGGGTACATGTTCTTATTTTCTTAACGTTGCTTCATTAGTTGAATAATGTTAAATCTTCTATGTTTGATGCAGCTTATGTTGGCCTTGCCACTGTTGCCGGTTTTATTTGGTGGTTTGTTTACGCTGATAGTGGCCCTAAACTACCATACTCTGAATTGGTGAGATATTATCATATACTCGTTTGTGGGATGTGCTTATGAGTCCTGGGATTTTCTTTGTAGATAACATCTGAGATGTGAATGTTGCACAATATGAAAATAACTTTGTATCATGAAATAAAAGAACTTCCAAACTTTGATAGCTACATTCAGGAATAAAAATTAATCAGAAATGGCGCTGTTAAGAATCCGTTATCAATCAATTAGTATTGATTGATATTCAATTAGTAATTAGTGTAATTGATATTGTTTTCTATTGTATATTTCCTATTTGCATATAAATATACACCATGTGTGATCATATTCGACACACAAATACAATTACAACATGGTATCTAGAGCTGGTTGACCTATGGTCTTCCACAAAAAAAAGTTTCCTTTTTTTTTTTTTCCGGCTTTCACTGTGTAAACCCATTGACATTTCACTGTAGTTTTGTCTGAAGGCAAAGGAACAATGTCCTAAGTGTTATTTGAATGCAAGACAGCCATTTCTTCCGCCATCGCCTGATGTCAATTGGGATCAGTCATAGCTTCACCTGTAAACTTAGGAATAGACACAAAATCCAAAGCAGACACAAAAGAAACATAGGAAGTAGAGAGACAGTCATAATTTAAAACACAGACATATTTAGGATTTGGATTATGAGATCGAATACCTTTTCGTAATACTATTGGAAGGTCAGGTTCAGGTGACGTAGCTGGAGGAACAGTTGGAGTAGGGGATGGTGGTAGTGGATGAATATCATCTCTAACTGCCGATGGACGCGAAGTGCGTCGCTGATATACCTGCAAAGGAGGTTTAATGAGAGTGGGGATGACAGAAGGGATATCTTGATCATCTAAATTACAAGTTTTATCGGGTGACGAAGAGGCAGAGAAGAAAGAGGAATCTTCAAATAATGTAACATCGGAGGAGACAATGTACCGTTGAAGTTTAGGACAAAAACAACGATATCCCTTTTGTATACGCGAGTAGCCAAGGGATACACACAAATATTTGGTTTTGATTAGACATTTTTTCTCCAATGGCTAAGATTAGTTCAGTCTGTCTCTTCCTTGCAATGACTGCTATTAATCATTGGTCGCTTCATCAGTTGGACATTAAAATGCCTTCTTACACGGAGAATTGGAGGAGGAAGTATATATGGATCAACCTCCCGGTTTTACCGTTCCTGGTAATTCAATACTTGTTTGTCGGCTTCATCGCTCTCTTTATGGGCTGAAACAGTCTCCACGTGCTTGGTTTGGTCGCTTCAGCTCTGCCTTGATACAATTTGGTATGACTAGATGTGAAGTAGATCACTCTGTTTTCTTCCTTCACTCTTCCACCGGTCAACATATTTTTCTTGTGGTTTATGTTGATAACATTGTTATCACTGAAGACAATACAAAGGATATTCAACGACTCGAAACTCACCTTTTCAAAAACTTTCAGGCAAAAGATTTGGGTTCACTCAGATACTTCTTAGGTATTGAAGTTGCTCAGTCCTCATCAGGCATTGCAATTAACCAGCGTAAGTATGCATTAGACATCCTAATTGAAACTGGTACGATTGATTGTCGTTCGATTGATACTCCTATGGATCCTAGTTAAACTTCTTTTGGGTCAGGGGGAGTTGTTGAAAGACCCGGGAAGATATCAACGTCTAGTGGGTAGACTCAATTATCTTACCGTCACCAGATCGGATATTACTTTTGCAGTGAGCACTATGAGTCAATTCCTGAATGCTCCTTGTGATACTCATTGGAATGCAGTTATTCAGATTCTCAGATATATAAAGAATGCACCAAAGACGGGGCCTATTATATGAAGATAAGGGTGATGCTAAAATCATTTGTTATTCAGATGCAAAACTGGACAGGATCACCGTCGGATAGGAGATCCACTTCTGGATATTGTGTTCTTATTGGAGGAAATATGATCTCATGGAGGAGCAAGAAACAAAACACAGTTGCACTATCTAGTGCTGAAGCTGAATATCGTGCTATGGCAGCAGCCTCAAAAGAACTTGCATGACTTAAGAATTTACTCTCAGAACTTAAGTTCGGTGACCTTCAGACCACAAAACTCATATGCGACAATCAAGTGACACTCCACATTGCGTCCAATCCGATTTTTCATGAACCGACCAAACACAGAAATATACTGTCACTATGTAAGAGACAAGGTATTGTCAGGAGAAATAACCACAAAATTTGTCAAATTTGAAGATCAATTGGCTGATATGTTTACCAAGTCTCTCAAGGGTTCTCGAGTGAATTATATTTGTAACAAGCTCGGATCATACAATATATACGATCCGGCTTGATGGGGAGTGTTAAGAATCCGTTATTAATCAGTTAGTATTGATTGATAATCAATTAGTAATTAGTGTAGCTGATTTTGTTTCCTATTGTATAGTTCCTATTTGCATATAAATATACACCATGTGCGATCATATTCGACACACAAAGATACAATTACAACAGGCGCAAACAAATATGAATAGAAATGGCTGTTGTGTATCGAACTTAAATTGGGCTCTTCTTTCCTTGTGTTATGTTTTCTGATAGAAAAGGAAAAATTATGGAGATATGAGAGGGAAGCACAGGCTCTGTATAAAGTGATTTCCACATTCTAGTACTACATGTTCCTTTTTGTCTACAAGTAATAAGAGGGGCATTTGAGTAAACTTAATTAAGTGCTTATATATAAACTACTCTTACAATTAAAGAGGGGCCGAGGGAAAAAATTTCACAAGCTCTGAATAAGTTGTTTCTTTAAGCTATTCTAAAGAGCATATGAAAACAAATGAAAACTTAATGGCATATTATATGCTCTTAGAATTTGGGTTGAGTTTTGTTAAGAGTCCCACATCAGACAATATATGGCCTGAACATGTCTTTATAAGTGGGGCAATCCTCACCCGGAAATGTGGCTGTTCAAACTTTATAAACACTACACATGCTATATCTATAGGCAATTTGAGACTAAATCCACTACCCCCCACCCAACACAATGAATATGTTGGAGGCTGCAATGAAGGTTGTTGGAAGTTCCACCTCCATTGCGGTCCGCCCCTAGCCCGCCTAAATTGCGGCATTTGGCTATTCTTCATTGGAACCTCCAAACATTCATTGTTTTAGGTGTGAAGTGGATTTAGTCCCACATTGCTAAGAGATATGGCTTGTATAATGTTGTTAGAGTGGTTAGAGAGGTTAGTTAGAGTTCATTTCAGAATGTAACTAACTTTTGATTGTTGAAAGATTAGTTACAATTGACAGCTTCAGTTACTTTATATAGTAACTGCACGACCTGTTACAGCAGGTAAAGATTACACTCAAGTCGACAGTTGTCAGGTCAGTCTTGAGACTAAACTAACTAAACTTGTTTTAAGATAGCCTTCTCTAACTCTTACACTAATAAGTGTTTATAAATTGGGGCAATCCTCACCTTAGAAGTTGGTTTTGTAGAGATGAGTTAGACCCAATCCACATTTTAAGATGGTATCAGAGTCGTGTTCAAGATTCGGACCACCTGCTATCAGGTTTCCACTATAAGGCAACCCACCATTTATATCCGTGCACCAAGTCTAATAGTGTTGGATGAGAAGAGGTGTGTTAAGAGTTTCACTTCAGACAATATATGACATGAATATATGTTTATTAGTGGAGATAAATCTCACCTTACAAGTCGGTTTTGAAAGTTGAGTTAGGTCCAACCACAATTCTTAGTTGATATCAGAGTCTATCCTAGATCCATTGTTGAACTTGCATCATCCATACTTCAGGAAAATTGAGGTCCGAGTGTAGGGGTGTGTGTTTAAAATTCCCCCTTCATTGCAGTCCACCCCTAGCCCACCTAAATTGCGGCATTTGGCTTGCCTTCATTGTGTTTGGTGCGAAGGGGTGGTTTTAGTCCCACATTGCTTAGAGATATGGCATGTGTAGTGTTTATAAGTAAGGACAATCCTCATCTTACAAGCTTGGTGCGAAGGGGTGGTTTTAGTCCCACATTGCTTAGAGATATGACATGTGTAATGTTTATAATATAAGTGAGGACAATCCTCGTCTTACAAGCTGGTTTTATATTGGGATGAGTTGGACACAATCCACATTCTAAGAAAGGCAACCCAAATACCGCAATTAGGCGGCTAGAGGCGGACCACAATGAAGACGGAGTTTCCAACATAAGCTAACTTGTAACTTTTCCAAATATTTACACAAGTGTTTATGTCATAATATAAGATCTTCCAAATATCCCCTAAATCTATTTCAGGTATCCTTTGTTTGACATTTTTTCCTTTCCAGATGAATTTTGACACTTGCCCGACCAGGGAGACAACTTATCCATGCAGTATATTTGAAGATCGACACCCATCTACTGTATCTATGACTGTGCTTGTTGTTGTTGAGATGTTCAATGCTCTGAACAATCTTAGTGAAAATCAATCCCTCCTGTAAGTTATTCTATCCAATTTAATTCGACTTCATCAGATTTTTTTTCTTCCTGGTTCCTGCATATTAATGGGAGGATATTGGATATTACTGTAAGTGTTAACTATCCAAGTCATTCATATGGTTTTTGTTCATCAACTTAAACTTTTGGAATAGTTGGTTGATAACATGGTATCCAAGTTTCTATGACCAAGTGATCATAGATTTGATCATTGTTACTCCTTTTTATATGAAATTTGTTTTCAGCAAAAGATAAAATAGGGTAGTATATACAGTTTCCACACCTTAAGTCCAAAGTCTCTTGCGAGGAGGTGCATACTAAACATGAAATCATTCAAGTTCTTTCACCCATAAGACAATTTTATAGATGATTCACACCCGTCACTAAACTAGTAGGGGAGGAAGTTGTAAAGATTCACAGGCCTAGAAAATGAAATCTTAATAAACTGATTTGAATACGTGAGGCTGTTGAGGTGACAAACAATTGCAAACTGTTGAACACAGTTGCAACTGTTAGATCTGTGAACAGAATCTTTCCTGCTAGAATCTTCTATAATGCGTCGCACCTGAATAGGTTGTAACTTAAAATCTAGTGAATACCAAGGTCTGACTGAGTCTACAATGTAAGAAAGTTTGATTAATCTTTTGTTATTTGGGAACTGAAAAAGCAAGTTTTGCTGTAACAAGTTTTTAATAATGATATGACAATGACAGTATTCATTTATCTTTTAGGGTCATCCCTCCCTGGAGTAACATGTGGCTTGTTGGTTCTATAGTCCTAACTATGCTTCTTCACACACTAATTCTGTATGTTCACCCATTATCAGTTCTTTTCTCTGTAAGTAATTTTCTGAAACAACGATTACCATTTTATTTTCTTCAAGTGACAACTCTATTTATCCGGTTCATGGAGAATCAGAATCATTTTATTACCATTTTTCTTGACAGGTAACACCATTGTCTTGGGCTGACTGGATGGCTGTCCTCTATCTTTCTCTACCGGTACGCTGTTTTGTTTATCTTTCTCAGAAATTTTATTTGGCACTTTTGTCTTATTCCTGTGTCAAAACTTAGGTAGATAATTCCTTGAATGAACTCTATGGCGAGTGTAATATGTTTGAGTTTTGAAACACTATGCTGTTAGCTTAGAACATTAAATTATATCATATTGACCAAAAGTTGCTAGATTGCGGAAAGTTACCTTTCTTCACATATGGAAAGTATGGGGATACTATTAGAATTTGTGTAGAGTCAGAATCCCATAGCAACTTAAATAACTAATGTATTGGGCATTTGCAATACTAACTTGTCAGGCTTTATTTATCAGTAACCAAAAGTTGGCAGAAAATCTTAATTCAAATATTTATAACTAGATTAGGGCTTGATATTGCTTTCTTCATTTTCTTGTTCATACAAAGTTTGATCAAATTTCTTAAAACTTGAAGTTTCTGTGTTGGGGAAGAGCGGTTTTTAATTTTTAACTATGTGTTTTTACCCTTCCAACTTGCAAATGATTGCCACTTTGGTTTGGTGGTCACCTAAGAGTAATTTGGTTATTTTTATGACTGCATCACATGTAATATCCGCAAAAAGCTGCTTGTTAATCTTGATTGTTGGGATTTCTCTTGATAATTTGTTCACTGCCAGTTGCTTAGTCCTGCAACTCATCAATGTGTTGTTCTATCCTTTGTTTTCTTATCAGGTTATAATCATTGATGAGATCTTGAAGTTCTTTTCCAGAAATCCCAATGGTAATCTTTATCTGATTATGTTGAATAGTTACATATTCCCGTTTCCTGTTTTAATTAATAGTTGTGAAAATGGTGAAAAAACCAAAATGTTGTTTAAACATTTTAAATGCAAATCTTGATAAATGGGAAACAAATAGAAACGAAGTGTTTTTTTAATTCCATCAATATGATCAATCGGAACATTTTTTTCGGTGTTTTGTCGTGGGATCTATATAGCATTGTGATGTAATCAAACATCGATATAAAATATTTTCCTTATCAGTTATGTGATAATAATTCCTATGGCTTTAGGTATGAGGTTCAGATTATGGTTTAGGAGGTCTGATTATGGTTTACTTCCAAAAAGAGAAGTGCGTGATAAGTAAGATGTTGTGTGCTATTTGAGCAAAGTAGATATTTAAAGTGGTATCCTTCACTGAATCTTAATCGTCAACCTCCACGTGCATGTCCAGGAATTAAAAGGTACCGTGAAAGATACTGTATACTGTAATATTTACCTTGTATTACTTATGTTTTCCTGAAAATGTCAGTCATGTAAAACAGCAAATGTAGGTAACTATAGGCTTTTATTATCATTAATTATTTTTTTTAAGGTTTGTATTAAATCAATTTTGATAGCATAAGTTCAATAGAGGCTCTCAATTTTCCTTTAATCCTAATTAGCGTGTGTTCAATCGGTATTTATGTAATTATTAATTTTAACATTAATTATTTATAAAATAATTAAAAAATGAAATTAAAGCGATATAAAATCTGCCATATAACCGTTAGTAAAGAAAAGTTAAAAACAAATGATTGTGTATCTTCAAACAAGTACATAGAGCTTTGTGCCAACGCGCTGATGTTCAAAAAAAAAAAAAACTGCATGAGATTTAATTTTTTTATTAAAAGATTTTATCCTCATGTTCCATTAATTAGATTAATTTGTATGCACTCAAATTATAAAAAGTTTTACACCACTAATATATCAGAACAACTTATACTTTAAAAAATCATTAACAATGTTAAATATTTATCCTCGTGCTTTAAATAATCATTAACAATGTAAAATATTTTTCTACTCAATGTATTTCAATTAAATTATCTTTTTATGACAATAACTTTTCGAGTATTTTTAACATTACAAAACCTGACATGGTGTCGTGAACAAACGGATGCTTATTAAATTGGAGGCATGTGTGTCGTTAAATTTGTATTTTTTATTGGTTAACACTTTGAATTTAATTGAGTGGTGTTATTTTTGTCTAATAAAATTGATTGTATCTAATCAAAATGGATTGTTAAAGTCTACGAGCAGTGAGTTGAGCAACAATTGAAAATAAGTTGGGGTATCTACAAGTCACTCCGATGTTAAAGTAAGATTTAGAGTAGTGCGAGCAAGTATGAGAGTGAGTATGAAATAATGAATATCTGACCTTCTCAAGTGAGAGAGTATTTATAGTCCAAACGTTGGACTAAGGTGTCCATCGTTAGGCTGGGCAAGCAGACTCAAAATGGAGACTGTCAGGTCTTACATGCGTAGTGGGGTCAACACGTGGTCTCTAACTTGGATGGACTCTTCCGAACAGTCAGGAGGATATGGATGCAGTCTCTGATATTCGAGGGGCGTTAAGAGTTAACTCTACGAGGAGGATGTTTGCGATGTCCTTCTGTTTGTCGTGGGCCTTTCCCGCCAACTGTGAGGTCGTCCTAGAGGGTATGTCTTGGTCGACGAGAAGAGTGGAGGGTGCTCGTGAGGTCCTCCTGACCGACGATGAGCCTCCTCGCGATTCCTGAATTTATCTTCGTATGGCGAAGCAGCGTTTTCCCGAAGGGTGAGATTGTTGTCCGACATAGTTGAGGGCAGACTCGATCAACAGGTCTCCTCGAGCAGCATAGTTGGATTGGGCCAAGTGCAGGCCCAGTCCAGAACAGGAGCTCCTAAGTCGTTGCTCTTGATGAAGGAGTTATGACTTAAGTTTAATTTCTCCTTACAGTGAGTATAATTTCGCCGAGGATCTTTTACTGTATCGAGGGAGAGGGTCGTTAGGATGCACGGTTGTTCGAGCAGAGGTTGGATTTGGCTTGATGGGGAACATTTCAGTTGTTCCTCGACTCGCGAGGAGGGGAAACTTCGCAGGGATGTGGGCACGTGGCGTGACTTTTGGGATGATAATGATGGTCTAAGGAGTACGAGTCATTATTATCTGAGCGCGTAGGAGGCGAGGAGGAGGGCGGTCGATGGGATTCCCGACGCGACGCTTCGTATTCCATGTCAGCCCTATTTATAGTGTCTTAGGGCCCACTTCTCATATTTCTACTTTTCGCTCTCTCCACTTTCTCTGTCGCCTGTACCGCTTCTATGTTTTCTCACCATCAACGCTGCCGTAAGATCTGCGGTGGATTCTCCACCTACGCTGATCAAGTAAGTGTTTTTTGTACTGAATGTTGTTTACGATTGACTTTATTGATGATTCTTTATAGAATTTCACTACTCGGGGGTTTTTTGCTCGGGGTGTTCATACATTCATACGTAATATTTGCGAGTGGGCTCGTGATATTAAAGGGAAGAAGAAGCCCCAAGTCTTCAAAGACTTGGATATTATCAGACGCCTCGATGAGGAAGGCCGAAGGAAGTATTTGGCATCCAGGATGGTTGGTCTGATGAAGGTCGCGAAGATGATTGTTGCCCTTGCAAGCGAAGGAGTCGGCTCCTCTGGACTAGTGAGGGAATTGGAGCCGGAGAAGGCGACTCTTCAGGCGAAGACGCAAAAGTTAAAACTGCCCTCGAGCGGAGCGAGGAGAAGTCTCAGGGGCAGACCGGCGAATTAGCGAGGGAGAAGGAAAGAGTTTCCAAAGCTTACGAGGAAAGGGATTCCCTGTTGCTCGAGAGGGAACGGTTGGTAAAGGAGGTCACCGATTTAAAGGCTGCCATGCTGCATGTGGATAAAGAACCTGAAGGATTTGTTGATTTGCATTCCCAGGCGAAACTAGTTGCTCGGATCCAGATTCTCGAGTCAGATTGCATCGATGCTTTGACCGACAGATTCGAGACCGCACTGACTCAATTGTCCGTGCTAAATCCAGGGCTCAACATCGACGGGGCCGGGGTATTATCTCAAGTGATTGATGGTCGGGTTGTTCCACCTCCTGGTTCCCTCGAGGTAGAGGTCGAAGTGAGCACTTCGCAGAGTGATTAATATTTCTGAGATTTTGGTTGTTTGTATTCGGGGTCTGCGTGCCTGTACCTTTTTGTAATATTCAGAAAACGTCGACCCTCGTGGTCGACATTTATAAATGTTTTTACTTTATTTTTTCGTTGATGCTTGCTAACTATCTGCTCGTCGTTGTTTTTGACTTGTATATTTCATGAAAATTTGTAAATTTCATGAGTGGAGGTTTATGCTCGACCCTTGTTGTGGAAGACACATGTTGGAATGTGTCATGGGGGTAGAGTAGGGATTATCGAAACAAGCTCAAGATCACGGTCGAGATCTTAAGCTCGTGGCGTGAACTGCCCATCGCGAGCTGGGTGTTTTGCCTGTTGGGTACTTCGACAGCAGAGCTCGATTGAGGTGTCGCTGTCGGGCTAAGGTTCTGCTCGAGAAATGAACAACATCCCGCCTTTCATTGATGTTTGGAGGCCATGTCCGTACCTTGACATGCCTACGTGGTCGAGCTTGTCCCGTCATCGGTTGGAGAGGACTGGTCGACTGCTAATGCCCGTAGTAGGATAAGAACTTAGCTGCAATATTGTTTCAGTTTCGTAGTGTTCCATGGTCGAGATAATAGTTTTCCATTTAAATGTTTGAGGTAGTATGCCCTGGTTCCCGGAGCTCCGTGGACGCGTTATGGTCCTTCCCAGTTTGCAGCTAGCTTCTCTTCACGGGAATCTTTATGATTTTTCTGCAAGACTAGGCTGCCGAGCTGGAATTCACGTTTTATGACTTTGTTATCATGGCGAAGGGCTATCTGTTATTTCAGCATGGCCTTGCAAAGAGATGCTCCTGAACGGATTTCCTCGATTAGATCAAGCTCTTCACTTAGGGCCTCGTCGTTTAGTTCCTCGTCTAGGGGGGGCTTTAGTTTGTCTGGACGGTTCCATGATTTCTACAGGGATGACAGCCTCATTGCCATATGTTTAACCAGAATGGGGTCTCGCCTATCATCGAGGGGGTGTTGTTCGGTACGTCCGCAGGATGCTGTGGAGTTCCTCGACCCATCCTCTTTTGGACTCGCCCAGCCTCCGCTTGAGACCTCGTAAGATGACTCTATTCACGACTTCAGTTTGCCCGTTAGTTTGGGGGTGTTTGACTGAGGTGAAGTGCTATTTGGTGCCAAGTTTAGCGACGATGTTTTGGAAATCCTGATCAATGAACTGTGTCCTGTTGTCGGTGATGAGCGCTTGTGGTATCCTGCCAAATCGGGCAAGCACGTTTCTCTTGTAGAAATAGAGGATGTTGTGCGAAGTGATTTTAGCCAGAGCTTCTGCTTCTACCCACTTCGTGAAATAGTTAATGGCCACGATCATGAATTTATTTTAATATAAACCTTGCACGAGCGGTGCGAGAATGTCCATTCCCCACCAGGCGAACGGCCACGGGGATAACCGTGTTTTGAGCTCGTGTGGGGGTGTGAGGTGCATGTTCGCGTGCCTCTGACACTTGTCACATTTCTTGACGTGCTCCTTGGAGTCTTGTTGCATGGCCGGCTAATAGTAGTCTGCTCGCAACGCCTTTCGTGCCAGGGACCTTCCGCCCATGTGTTGGGCGTTGATCCCTTCGTGGATTTCTCGCAGTATCTCATGGATTACGGATTCTTCGACACATTTTAGGAGTGGGATGAAGAATCCTCGACGATAAAGTTTGTGCTCGAGTACCACGTACAAACATGCTCGCAGTTTGGTCGCGGCTGCTTTTTTTTGGGTCCACGGGAAGTTCCCCCTTTGTCAGAAAGTTTAACACCGGGGTCATCCAACATGAGCTGTCCTCGATGGCGCTTACCTCGGGTGGCATAGTGGATTTTTCAATGCTCAGGAGAGAAAGGGATTCTTGGATGATAGATTTGTTCCCGCCTTTCTTATTTGTACTCGCGAGCTTTGAGAGTATATCTTCCTGCGTGTTCTATTCGCGAGGCACATGCTTGATTTCTTCCCGGTCTAACTTCTTCATATGTTCTATGACCAGGTTTAAATATTCGACGAGGCTGTTGTTCTTATCCTGGTATTCCCCTTGAACTTGAGATGGAACAAGTTGGGAGTTCGTGATAATTTGAATTTCTCGGGCACCCAAGTCCTCGGCCAGTCTTAATCCTGTGAGCAGGGCCTTGTATTCAGCTTGATTGTTCGACGTTGGAAAAGAAAGGGAAAGGGAGTGTTCGATCACGACGTCTTCCTTGTTCTCGAGGAGGATTCCCGTTCCACTCTCAGTCGAGCTGGAAGCTCCGTCCACAAAGATGGTCCACTTATGCTTCTTCCCTATAGGGGGGGGGGGGGTCGTGAGTGGTCATGTCTGCAACGAAGTCAGCCAGTGCATGGGCCTTG